ATATCAAACTAATTATTGCATCCGACGAAGTTCGTTATAAAGAGGTTTGACTGTGCAACTTGGATAGATAGCTCAGTGACAGCAGGCTGTAAACAGCGAATTGTATTCCACACCACTTCCCAACTCTAGTATTGAGTTGCTATACAGCTGTAACTCTGCATAAAGTATGAAACAAAAATAGAAAATGTGCTATATCTCCCAACGAAAAATCTATGGACGTTTCATATGAAGTAACGGTGCGAGTTCCATGTTCCAAAAGCTCTAAACGTTTTTCACTGCATTACAAAAAGAACTGATTATGCATGATTTGCATAAATGTAGATAATGGTTTCTTACCTTACCTTTTATAAACTGACACAGCAAAGATATGAATAAAGTAAAGCATTAAGTAAGCTTGTAATACTGGTACAGGCATTTGAGGCACTGATATAATTAAGACACTCATATGGTAGATGTTTTCTAGAACTGGTGACTTTACTATAGATAGCTTCTACTGTACCATAAAAGTTTGTGCTTTTTTTTTCTCTATTTTTGCAGATTTTAATAAACTACCAATACGAGTTCTAGAGATAAGTACTGATCAAAAATTTTTCAAAGAATTAAAGAACTTCATACTGGCTGGCTCATTTCTGTCAATACGGCTGGAATATACTGGTGTACCCAGTCTTCCTATTTTCAGATAGCTCCAATCTGGAAGGATAACACCTAGGCACCACCTGGCACAACAATCATGTTAAATTTTATGTAAAAAAAAAAAAAAAATTGGCGCTGTAAGTTGAAGCAGAAACACGGCAGGGGTAACGTTTTGTTGGCTTTTGCCAATGAAAATGAACTGCTGAAGAGAATCTAGTGTTTGCGAACTGCGAAAACGAAAAGAGGAAACATTGGGCAGAGGGCCATGGATGCACAGAACATAGCGGCACGCATGTGTGCATTTGCCGCACATGTGACTTTTAATTTGGCTTCCTGTATTCAAGTCTTAATTTTCCTAAAAGTTTTGTTAATCGGAGGAAAAGCCAACATCTCTGAAGTAGGATTCACCGAAACCTTTGTGGTGAAGCGATCCTGGAAGCCTACGTCGTTGGATTGCGCCGACGGTGATGCTCGCTTACTTTTCAACTCACGCTACAGGTAGTGCCAACTGCGTGCCGTCGTTGTGAGGTACTGGCCGTGGAAAGGGGGCTCTTTGTGTCGCCTGGAGACTGCATACATGTGGACGCTCAGTCTATGGGTATCGTCATCGTGAGGTACCGATGGCAGAAACGCGAGTCTTCGTGCCGCCTCATGGGAGGACAGTGCGTGTGGATGCTCTGTGTGACGTCCGCAGACCTAGACGCTTAGCTGAAGGCAAAAAAAAAACACCATAAAAACACTCTGTACGCTTAAGAAGACGCCTAGACAACCCCCAAAGATGGCATACGGCGACAAAAACAAGCGCTACTGGAACAAAACAGAGGGTTACTCGACCTCGTCGAAGGAAAACCAGAAACATTCCATGTTATGCCGGACCTCAATAAGGCTAGTATTCATGACCTCGACGGTGAAGGCTCGTCCCACGAGGCCGGGGCGTGGCCGAAGAGTATCGACTCCATGGCAGTCCTGCATGGCTGGAGAACGTTAGGCTCCATTTGAAGGGACCTGTTCGATTTTGGCTTCAGGCACGTGTCGAAGACCATACTAAGTGGGAGGACTTCAAAGTCGCCTCTGGAAAAACCTCTGTGGGCCAAACAAGCACAGCTGAAAAATGTAAGCAAACGCAGGAGAAAATCTAGATGAGGGGAAAGTTCACAACAGCATATTTCCTCGAAAAGACCTTCTCGTTCAAGGTCCTGGGGCCTCTGCACAACACGGTAGCATTGTGCTACAAGGTCGACTTGTTGATTCCAGCCAAGGACTGGGAGGACTTGCTGGTTCAGCTCAAACAAGTCCTGGATGCTCTGCAGGCTGCCGGACTAGCCCTGAAACTATCTAAGTGTGTGTCTGGAAGTGACAAACTTAATTACTTAGGCTTCAAGATTGTGAAGGGCTACATGCAGCCCGGTGAAGTGAAGCAACAAGCCATGCTGGAAACTAGCCCACCAACAGATGCTCACGGTGTCAGGAGGTTTCTGGGCCTGAGAGGAGTTTTCGTACGGTTCATTCTCCACTATGCCCTGAAGGCAGAACCTCTTATTTGTCTGACGAAGAAAGATAAAAAATTCACATGGGGAGTAGAGCAACAGGAGGCTTTTGACCAGCTCTGAAAGGAGCTAACAGAGCCCCAATACTGAAGTTGTACAACCCTTCGGCACCAACTAAACTCCACACGGACGCAAGCAAGCATGGACTTGTGGGAATGATTCTTCAGCAAGACCAGTCAGGACGCTGGCACCTGGTGTTTTGTGTTAGTAAGCGAACAACTAAAGACGAGAACTACCATGCAGAAAAACTAGAGCTGATTGCAATAGTCTGGAGTATGGAAAGACTTCGTCCATTCCTTCTAGGCATTCCATTCATGCGGGTAACAAATTGTAAAGTAATCATGTACGAAACTCTTAAACCACAGGTATAGCAAAATGGTTTGACTTACTACAGGAGTATGGCTTGGAGGAGAAGCACCGAGCAGGTGAGAAAATGGCTCGTGTGGACTACCCGAGTCGTGAACCCATGGGAGCGTCAGAGGACACCCTTGACGAGATTGTCGAAACCAGGGTTAAAGTGTCCCTCGCTTTAGGTTTAGAGGACCAACTTGTGGTCATCCAGTGATCTGACACAGACTTGGCTAACCCTGCACAGATTCTCAAGAAGCCAATCACAGAAAGGATTAAAAATGAAAGCTGTTTACAACTCCCTGTAACGCCGAATTAGGAGGAGGAGGGAAGGGTACTGAGGGGAGGGTATACACCTCAACCCTCCTCCTCATCCTGCCTGCTACTCCTCCCTCTGAGCGGCGGCAACGTCGCCGTCGGCATAACCGTGAGGTCACGTGACCCTTGTGACCTCACGGGGGTCACGTGTGGCTTTGAGGGGGTCCTGAGGACCCCCTGAGGGGGCCATATGACCCCTGCAGGGTCACGTGACTCCTCAGGGGGTCCTGAGAGGGTCACTTGAGGAGGAGGAGGGAAGCGTACTGAGGGGAGGGTATACACCTCATCCCTCCTCCTCATCCTGCCTGCTACTCCTCCCTCTGAGCGGCGGCAACGTCGCCGTCGGCATAACCGTGAGGTCACGTGACCCTTGTGACCTTACGGGGGTCACGTGTGGCTTTGAAAGGGTCCTGAGGACCCCCTGAGGGGGCCACATGACCCCTGCAGGGTCACATGACTCCTCAGGGGGTCCTGAGGGGGTCACGTGACCCAACGAGGACATTTGGGCAAGGTGCCGAAACGTCACCATGCCGAAACGTCGCCGCGGTTACGCCGCCGGCGACGCCGCTCAAGCCGGAAACAAGTGCTTAAGAGCTGCACTCTAAAAGGAAAATGTCAAAGTCAAGAACCTACTACTGAATGATTGAAAGCTGTTTTACATGAAAGAAGTCGGACAACTCCTTTTTGTGATGCCTAAGAGCATGCGTAAAACACAGTGTGTCAAGTTTCACGACTTGCAGGGACATTTTAGTGCAGACTGAACTGTGACGAAAATCAAGGAACTCTATTGGTTTCCTCGGATGAAGCGCTAAGTGCACCGGCACATCCGTAGGTGTTTCGAGTGTCTGATCACGAAGGTACCAGGAGAGAAGAAGCCTGCACTTCTGCACTTGATACCACCTGGGAAGAGGCTATTTCAAGTTGTACACATTGACCATGTTGGTCCGTTTGTGAGAAGTTCCAAGAAAAACCAGGGGATTTTGGTGCTGGTGGACAATCTGACCAAGTTTGTATGCCTCTACTCTGTAGAGACACATCAGCAAGAAATGTACTGCAGTGCATGCAGAGTTTTATCGCCGAGTTGGACTACCGAAACGCATCATTTCGGACCGTGGTTCCCGTTTCACATCCCACAGCTTCGAAGCCTTCTGCCAGAAAAATGGTGTGGCTCACACGCTGAACTCATCACACCATCCAAGGGCTAATGGCCAGGCAGAGCGAGTGAACCAAACCCTGGCACCGTGCATTATTGCTAGAATCAAGGACCCGGCTCACAAGGACTGGGATCGGAACATCAAGGAAATAGAGGGCTACCTGAACACAGCGTACAGCATAGACCACTCACAACGTAACCGCTTATAGTGCAGGACCGGGTATAATGCGGCTTTTTTAAACCACCGGTTCGCCTCCCATAAAACTCCATGTAATTTTTTTTTTTTTGGTGGGACATTGCAAAATGGCAGGCTGCTGTGGAAGCAGACCAAGCGGACGTAAAAGTGGCCACATTACCTTCCCGCCAGAACTGGAGATTGAAGCTAACGAAAGCACGCTCGGATTCCATCTCCCATGTACTTTTGTCAATAAAGACAACATGGGTGTTATTTTGTTTACATGCCACTACTAGAAGCTTGTTACATGGCATGTAAACAGCGTCTCGGTAAGGATCATGGCCTAAGGGGGGGGCTCAGCCGCCGCCCCCCCCCGGATCTCACCAGGGGGGGCACGAGCCCCAATGCCCCCCCGTAGTCTACGCCTATGCACTTGTGACCAAAAGACCTTCGTACCTTGATGACTACACCACATAAACTGAGGACAGTTCACTGCCAGGAATGGCCGAGTGTTAGCTAACTCTGAAAACGAAGGGAAGAAACACTGGGCAGAAAGCCACGGATGCAGGGAACATGGCGGCACGCAAGTGTGCGTTTGCTGCACGTGTTACTTTTCCTTTTACTTCTCGTATTAAAAACTTTTAATTTTCCTAAAAGTTTTGTTAATGGAGAAAAAGCCAACACTAGGTCAGGGGTTAAATGAAACCCCTTCGGATTAACATATTGTGTAGAAAAGCCTGTGAGACATGAAGCTAGAAAGTCATGCACATACGCATGTGAAAAAGAAAGTTAGAGCAGCAGGGATTTGTCAAAATCCTTTCCTCACCTTATGGGCGGCTGCACGATGCTGTGCCAGGCGTCGGGTAGCCTTGCACACTCCCGTGGAAGACAGCTCGGCCAGCCGGACAAGTCCATCACGAGCGCAGCTCACTATGTAGCAGTCTCCACTCATCGGAATAAACTTGGCCTGCACGAAGCAAGGGAAGATGAGGAACTAATGAACGGATGGGCAAGCCATTAATTTTTAAACATAAAACCTTGGCACAATGGTTGCAACAATGCGATCACACAAAATAAGACTACTTTGAATGGGATGAAACACGGAGGTCTTAGTGGCTCGTGTTCGAATCACAATGTAACAACTCGTGTTCGAATCACAATGGAACATAGAAAAACACAATTGAATGATGCTGCATGATAGGGCCTTTCCTTGATGTCCACATAACATAGTCGAACATAGTGAAATGATACAGCGTCAATGTGTCTTTATTTAGGTGGTGTTGAGCTAGCATGCTTGCATAGATATGCTGAAAGAGTGTGCAGGGGACAAAAAGGAAGAGAACAAGTACGTGCTTTTGAGAAAACGAGGAATCGCTTATTAGCAGGGTCAAAGTTGGGGTGTGCAACCACAAGAGACAAACTTTGCGTTCCTCTCCAGCTAGAGCACCAACTTTGGCAGGGCTTTATTTAAAAGACGCTACATGGGCAGATGTTCGTGGCATCGAGGCATCAAATCTGCTTCAAGTTTCTCTGTGCCAGATCACTGCGAAGCGACACACAATACATTCTGTGTTACCACTGCACTTAGTGCTTGTTTGTCAGGATCAGGAAACAAACACTTACCGTAATATCCCGAGTCATCGCCCACCCCCCTACCACCTGAAATTCATTAAAAAAGTGGGGTGGGCCATGTCTCGGTGGGTGAGCACAAACACTTGAAAAAAAGCGGAAAAAACCGCCTATTTTTCTCTGCGTATCTAGCGCTGATGCAAAAGAGATACATCAAACTCAAAACTCGATTTAGTTTGATTGTTTTATAGAAAAAAAAGAAATGCTCACGAAAGAATATTTTACTATAGCGAAGTCCGTTGCTTGCATACGCGCTAGAAACACCGCCGATCTGCATATAGCACTAACGTTTGTTCCGTGAAAGAATGTCACCATTATGTTCTCCTAGTTAGTAAAAAAAAATGAAAGAAAAGTCTACAAGAAAATAGAAAAACCGACCAGGTGCAACGAGCGAGCGAGCGAGCGGACCAAAGAAGCAACCAAGAGCAATGCTGGGAAAGCGGGAAAGCCGGCGGTCGTGTTGGCAAATACTTTGGCGTCGGGCCAAGTCGGGCGCCTTGCATACCTCGGCAAACCTCACTCATGAGGGCCCTCACTCATCCTCATCTTCACAGGTGAGGTGAGGGTGAGTGAGTTTCTGAACCAGGAAAATTCATGAGTGTGAGTGTGAGGGTGAGTGAGGGCCGCGAGGGCCCCGAGGGCCGTGAGGGCGGTAAGGGGTATGAGGGCCATGAGTGCGTGAGGGCGGTGAGTGGCGTGACGGCGGTGAGTGGCGTGACGGCGGTGAGTGGCGTGAGGGCCATGAGTGCGTGAGTGGTGTGAGGGTGGTGAGTGCGTGAGGGGTGTGAGGGCCATGAGTGCGTGAGGGCGGGCAGTGACATGAGAGGCGTGAGGGCTGTGAGGGCGATGAGTGAATGAGGTGTGTGAGGGCCATGAGTGCGTGAGGGCGGCGAGGGCGGTGAGTGCGTGAGGCGCCCTTCAGATCAAGCATCGTTCTCAGCAATTTTTTGTTCTCTAGCTTTCCCTAGATCGACACGAATTGCTGAGATCGGGTCCGGCTCGAAATAAGCAAGCAACTCGGAGCAATTCGAATACGTTTGAAGCGGCTGCATCCAAGCAGGGACGCAAAATTTTCACGTGATACCTCGTGCCGGTGATGATGACACCCAAAGACTTGGTTCTGGTTTGAAATCGATCGTTTTTTTGGAAATAAACTGTTTCAGAAAGGCGCATTAGTATTCTTAACGAGATTTAAATGCATAAAAACACGTTTATAATGCATAATTGTGTCTAAATAGTGCAAGAAAAATAAAATTTTATGATGACGATGGCAAATTGCAGCAATTGGTTGCTGCGTGTGATCGCGGGCGGCCCGTGTTGCTGGTGTTGCGAAGTAAAGTTTCTGGGCGAAATTGCCCCATCTGAAGCTGGCCCGAGTGGCGTGAGGGCCATGAGTGCGCGAGGGGCGTGAAGGGTGTGAGGGCCGCAAAAGCGGTGAGTGGCGTGAGGGCGGTGAGTGGCGTGAGGGCCGTGAGGGCCATGAGTGAGTGAGGGCGGTGAGGGCCGTGAGGTTCAGTGAGGGTGAGTGAAGGGCTGAAGGTGAGTGTGACTGTGAAGGTGAGGATGAGTGAGGGGCTGAAGGTGAGTGTAGCTGTGAGGGTGAGTGAGGGGCTTAGGTGAGTGTGGCGGTGAGGGTGAGGGTGAGTGAGGGCGACCTAAAATGCCGACCTCTGGTGCCTTGTCAATTGCAAGCTCTTGCGCAACTTTCTTGTTTGGTGCGTACATACGTGCGTCCGTGCACGGCGGGCTATCAATGCACGGTTGGGACGCTCTGCAAACGTCTGTGTAGGACGTTCCAGCAAAGCTTTATTTACGCTTTGGCTTTGCCTAAAATATTGCACAACAGCGGTCGCGACGGGCGGGAAGAAGGAGCGGGTTCGCGGTGACCTTACTTCGGCGGAGACAGACTTTGACCTAACACTCCGCGGTTACGTTAACAAACTCTTATTTTGTTATCTCCATCGTTTTCTTTTCGCACGGATACACGGATACACGGATACACGACCACTTTGGGGTCGCTCACGGAGGAAATGCGTAAACAAAAAGAAATGTCTTTCCCTCCTTCGTTTTACTTTGTAACGGACGTCCTCCAACTGTAAGGTCCGCGGCCGCGGCATTCGGGTAGGATGAGTGTTCGCGGACTGTTCGCGGATCGCAGAGTCCGCGCTGGGGTATTTGAAGGGGTGGGCGATGACTCTGTGTTTTTTTGGAAATCGATATTGGCCCAAAAAATGGGGTGGGCGATGGCTCGGGGATGGGCGATGACTCGGGATACTACGGTAGTGTTTGTTTCCTGATCTTATCAGTCTTGCTTTGTCGTTGCCGCTTGCTCATCATTTCGTTTGATTTGTTTTGTTCCCCCCATGGCACCATGTAAACAAGTGCTGAGCATTGTTGCATTTAATTATCGGTTACGGAAACCAAGGAGTCGAGAAATCCCAGCGTCGGGCGAGACAAAGAGGTTGTTGCATTTGCTCAAAGCTCGATCGAGTGCAGTGATAGAAAGTAATAACTAATACAGTGTGCAAAGCAGTTTGAAGACGCCTCAACGACACCAAACACGAACGGCAAACAGATGGACGTCAAAGTGTTCTCGAAACCTGAATGATCTAGACCAAAATAAATACCGTAGTCTGAAAATCAACCACATGCTCTTTGTACTGAAGAGGGGCAGAGGCATAAAATGTTGCCGCATGATGCACTTATTCCAACCACTAGGTATGCTTGTCTTTCATTGACCTTTTTTGTTTCATGAAAGACAAGCTGAACTCTGAAAACACCTCTGCTTAAAACAAAATGTTTGTGCAATATTTACATTAGCAGTGATGTGATTAGCAAAAGCCATTTTGGAGCACCTTCCGGAGCAGCCAGAACAGTGTTTTGGAGCAGCAAATGTGGCCTTTGGAACAACCAAAACAGTGTTTTGGAGCAGCAAAAGTGTTTTTAGGAGCAGCCAAGACAGTGTTTCGGAGCAGCAAAAGTGGCTTTTGCAGCAGAAATTTTTAGAAAAATAAAAAAAAAATATTTGTTTTAAGTGCTGTACAAACGAAAGGCACTTTGTGTTGAGTTGTGTTCTGATGAGACGTGTTGTGACGGAACTCGCTGCTTGTGTTTTTACTGCTGAGACATCCAAGAAGTGTACAGTGCTCTAGGCATTGCCGAGCAATTCCGAAAAACCGCTTGCCACCCGCCGTTTTACTGGTTCCCAACGTGCCAGATTTTCATCAAAAGTAAGCAAACGTAAGACAATGGATTGCAAGCAGCCCGGCTGGTGCTCTTTCGTGAAACCATGTTCGCATGCACGGAAGGGCAACTTCGGCAGGCTTGCAGTTCCACGTGCTTCGTCGTGCAAGCGGAGACAACAGCTGTTCGATCGAAACCGAAACCATGCCACTCCGCTCCGTCACCAACTGATTCCCAAAATTGTATGCAAAATATAATCGTCGAGCATACGACAAAAAACAATCCAGAAGCGCGTGCTTGCCAGGCCGCAAACAAGGCACAAGCTAAACACACACACACACACACACACAAAAAAAAAAGAACCTGAGCGCATCAATTTGTTTAAATCATGTAACGTATGATTTAAACAAAAACAGGAATGTTGATAAACATACGGTGATACATTATGGGTGGATAAACATGCGGTGATACTTAGTTTAATTTTAGAAAGTGCCATATCTGCAGCTACGAAGGCAACACCCGACGTCGCGAGACCACAGTGACTGCAAGGTAGGAACCAAATATAGTTTTCCCACGCCCGTTGCTTTCAGAAGCGAGTGCTTCAGCTCACAAAGTAACTCTCGCAGCGCAAAAATGTGGTTTCGTTTCACAGCATGACGGCGTGGCTGGTACCCGGCACGCTAGCGTCGGAGCATCTGCACACACCTATGCCTATCGTTCAAAATATTTTTAAAAAACATGCGAGACGAGACGACAAGATTACGAGACGACGAGAACGCGAGACGGCGGAAAAACCATGCAAGACTGGATGGACAATTGATGCAGGGTAATTTGTGTCGGGCGGCCGCTTGCGCCACATAACACACGCATGCTCAATTTCAGTATTCAGTTTAGAGTCAGTTATGAAAGGCGACCGAAATTGGTCTTTTGGCGCAGGCCTAGCGCAGATTATCTATATTTTGGCAAAATGTAGCAGGATGTAGCGAGGTTAGCCCCTTGGCGCAGTTTGGTGCAATCGTTGCAGCAATCACATCACTGAATTAAGAGACTCATTTTGATAAAGAGTGATTCCTCAGCATCGAGGCACATAGCCGGGGGGGGGGGGCCCATAAAACCCGACCCGCCCGCCCCCCCCCCCCCCCCCCCCAAAATCTTCCATTTTGTTGGGACCTCCTCTCCCCCCTCCCCCTCATACAGCATTTTGTCATGGGCAGGCCCCCCCCCGAAACAAAATCCTGGCTACGTGCCTGTCAGCATCAAACTACAGAGCGAGAGATATGTAGTTCAATTCTTAGTGAGGGACAAAGTGTTTTAGCACAGAATGTGTTTATGGGCTAGATTTCAAGCGAACAAGCATTATGCTAAAGTGAGGTAAAAGAGAGTTCCATGCAGGCAAAGGCAACATAAAGCATACACAGCACACAGCAGGCATATAAAGGCATTTAGAAGGTATATTTTGTTAGACTTAACCATACACAATTATAAATTAAGCTTAATTATTTATTTATTTATTGATACTGTCAGCCCTAGACAGGGCTTTTACAGGAGTGGGTAATACAATGCAGTAATTCACATACATGCACACAACAAACACAATTGTAACAGGCGAGATTAACACAACGGCTTGGGGGAAATTGAGCTACGGACTGTGCGATCCGCAGCCTGACACCTTTGCTCAGTGCCACGAAGAGGAGGTAAAAGCGACTGGAGTAAGTATGACTCATGAGAGCCTGCAGTATATTTTAAGAGACCGTCAGCACAAACAGCCGACTCTTGAATGATGAAGCCTAGCTCCCCAGTTGATTTCACAATGTGACGAAACGGATCATAACGCACTAACGAATAGCCCAGTGGACATACGGTGTCGCAAAATTTGCAAAGCAGCCAAGAGATGGCATAGTGGAGAGCACAGAAATCTGTCACATGCACGACCTTTCCGATACCACCCAAAGCTCCCTGCCCCTTAATCAAACATAACAAGTAATAATGCACAAATAAGGCCCGCACAACACATCCTTTGTTCCTCGGGTTAATTAAAATGATAAAGACAAGCTTGAGTTAATTTTTTGTAAATACATCTGGAGGGCACCGAGGAAGGCTTGAATGTGTTGTCATGTTCCATAACACCTTCTCGTGACGTATAGGTTCGAAAACGAGCCCTAAACCAAATTCTGCATTAGGGGTCAGCTCTTACATGATGAAATAACAGAGGCTACGAGGGATGTCCCAAAGACTCCTCGGGAAAGGAATTGCTAAGGGTTAGAAACCCCCCTTTTTGCACTTGCACTGGTAAGCTGTGCTGTGTGTTCAGACAGTGAAAAATTTGTCACCCCTACTGGCCATCTGGTGTCTCCGCCGTAAACTAAAAATTTAGAGAGTGCAGTACCACTACTAGCTTTGGATCTTGAACGTGAGTCACGCATTAGTGATACACGGTCACACGCTGGTACTACGCTGATCCAGATCGAAACGGGCTAGCGCGGGGCTTGAACCCGGGATCCACGAGTTCCGCGGCACGAGAGTTTGCACCACAAGCTCCGAGCTGCGGTGCATTAAAATGTTCAGCCACCGTTCCGCCGTGGACGCGGTCCAACGGTCCCGCACAAGGAAGAGCCTCACCTGGAAGACATTGCTCCTGTGGCCGCTGTCATACTTGAGCACGGGCTCCCCCGTAGCCCAGTCCCAGACGACCACGTTGAGGTCGTCCGAGCCGGAGGCCAGCCGAGTGCCGGCCGCATTGAAGTGCAGGGCGTTGACGCAGCCCTCGTGGGCTCGCATCTTGTACATGAGCTCCAGGCGCTCCACCATGCGGCGGCTGCCGTAGCAGCCCACCCGAAACGGGTCCAGGTGGGCCGCGCCCGAGCGCCGACCGTACTCCCGCTGAGTCAGCTCCCGCCACACCAGCCACTTGTAGGCCGGGGCGGGTGTGGGCGGGGTCGGGTCGTAGTCGTCCTCCATGCTCTCAGTGTCCTGCAAAGGCGACAATTCTGGGATGAGTCCCTCGGTGGCAGAGGCGCTTGTTCACCCGCCGAGGTTCACATGGCTGCACGCGTGACAAGTTGGCACCACGGGCGGCTCCTATGCGAGCTCTACTAATTGCATTCTTTGGCCACAGTTAAAAATTAAGGAGACAAAATGAAAGTTTATAAATAAGTTAATTCTTCACACACATATACTCCCTTTCATACTTAAGATGCAATGCTGTCAAAGCTACTGGCGCGAGCGTGGGGCTTGATCTCGTTGATCATTTGCACGCCTTCTCGCGCAAACAAAACCGTAGATGAAGCCACGCACTGGCGCCAGTAGCTTTGACAGCGTTGCACGCTAAGTATGAAACAGAGTATAGTAACCCCGCGATGAAGGATTATTCCTATGTCTCAGGGTTACTGTGGATGTCATTCACCAGCTCGCCTGCGTTTTTTACCTTTCTCCACTAGTTCTCCACAGTTGCTTTGGAAAGCCTAGACGAAATAAGCCAAGCTTAGATTCGTCATGAATTGATCTCGCGACAAAACGTATATGAACAAATCCGTATTCACGAAGTGAAATGTTCCCAAGTTGTGCGCAAGTTACGCCAGCGTCCTACGACGACGCCAGAGGAAGCCTTACACACTTTTTAAGATCAAATCGGCATGGCCGACAGCGTCGCTTGGTTACTCGTCGCAACGACTGACAGACATTTATTTTTCAGTCTGTTCATCATGCGTGTCTCCCCACTTCAAGGGGCAAGAAAAGAGAAGTGCTGAAAACCGACCACAATGAAAATGAACGCTAGATCTGCAGATATCGAGAAAAAGCCGCAGCGGCAACGATCCCACCGACCAAGCGACTGCCAAGGGCCATCTCGGCACACAAGGCCTAGTAAGGCATTCCTGAAGCAGCATTGCTCCGCCGGTCCCTGCCCGAGGCCATCCACTTACGACCGGCTGGCTTGCCAAATGGAATATGCCCGCGCACCACTCGTGGACCCTTCCCGCGCAAATACTTTGATCGCCAAACTCAATTTTCGGTTAAGAGGTCAATATCTTCCCCTTGTCATCACCTCGCCTTCAGAGGCAGCGGTGGCGAACGAGCGTGTCAAAAAGAGACACACTCGTCGATTCTCTTTTTTTGTGCAATATAAATCTAGAATAAATGCCGTATGGATTACCTTTGCAACATATTGTACATGCGCTTTGTTACTGATATGTCCTTTTTATTCTGACACGACGGTACGTCAACACTGGCGAGATAGAGCAGTTCGTGGGAACTAAGCGATGCCGGTCCAACCTTCCTCTGCCAATTGTCACGTCAGCACCGAGTTGTAATTGAAAAAGATTGGTCCTGAAGCACTTACCGAGAAGCGGTCCGACCGTGCGGTTCCAGCACTTCGATCAAACACCCGTGCGTCGAGTCTGAGTGTGAACGGGTAGTCACGTAGCTCTTGCTGACACTCTCGTATACAGTTCAAACGTATCTTCTTGGACATCGGCTTGCTCCCGCATCCCAGAGGACGCAAAAAACGCTGCGGCAATTCATTTCCATGCACCACTTTGCAAACGAGTGGTGCGGGACGTCTTCTTTTTTTGCAACGCTGACAGTCATGTTTGTAGCGATCGAGTTCATAGCGGTCAACGAAAAGGGTTATCCCAGCCTTGGCATTCGGACCAGTTTAAATCATAGTAGCGTTTGCTGAAAGGCCGCCTGCGTTTCTTAATAAAACTCCACGTGCTCCCAACTGTACCGAGCACTCCGAAAAGTTGTTCGGGTTGTCGAAGACGCTGTCGCCATAGCAACAGTCCGCTCTCGCGGGGATTGGGAGTTTGCGCGACACCGGCCGTTCTAATTTGCCCAAATGAGAATGTCACTTTCCTCCTCTCGCTTAAGAACACTTTCGTGAATACCGATTTCTCCGGAATTGTAGAATTACCCGAGACTGCGGGGACGACAGAAAAAAGGAAAAAAGTTTTAAATGATGACTCCTTTCCTTTTTCCTCACTTCAAAATCGCTGCCACACGGAAAGAGGAAGAGAAACAACAAACCAAAACTGTAGTCTTCAAACTGTCCAAGCGCAAGAGCTGCACGGGAGTTTTGAAATGGAACTTCATGCCTATCGATCATGGGTGAACGACTCTCTATGGGCGTGGTCAGGAAAGAGCTAAGTGTTGCTTCCTGCCTCGTCTATTGGGGAGTTTCAACCGTCATGTCCCTAGTGGCCGAGCTGAGAACAAATCCCGTGGAGACAACAACACAGCAATTTACTTATCTGCGTTCCCGACCCAAAGTTTGGCTGACATAGCAGAATGCTGTGCAAGCGTTTGGCAGGGACTCGTGTGCAATCAATGAAGCACCGATTGAAAAAGTGTCCTAGCCAAACACGGACATAGTGCTCATGTTCCCCGTTGTCAATCGAGGAAGATGACGTAAGGAATCCAGTCCATAGACCTTGTGTCGGACAAACACCGAGCTCCGTGGAAAACAGGCTGGACAAAGCACCCCCTATAGTTCTATCTCCTTGCCAATAGCACTCTAAAGGACATTATCAAATGTTATACCTTCCCGTTTTTTTTTTTTTTGGTTTTTTTCAAGGTGTCTTGAAGATGTGTCATTGGGGCTCTGCAACACTTCCCCACAAAGCACACAGAGAACCAATCGGAGTAATTCACAGAAGGAGGGCAGCAAATAGTCTGGCACCGACAGTTGAAACTTAAAATAGGCTCTATGCTGGGATTCATGGCATGCAAACACGGTGCTCAGTGTCTCGGCACAGTCCACTTTAACAGGTTCAAGACGTCACTGGCGCCTCACCATTTGCTAGGATACCCCTGTAAATGGCAATAATGAGCCCCCAACGTTCCCCATGAAAAGGCAGCCGCACAGGCTTTCTCTGCAAAAGAACTGACCTCATCCTTGAAGTTTGGATAAAGCGCCTAAAAAGAAGGGGACAAAAAGCTAAATGATACAAGGTGCCCTTTCAACTAAAGTTTACTGAAGGAAAAACAAAGAAAAAACACACAATAAAAGGAACCCAAATGTTGCCTAGTCATTGTTTCGGAAACCCTGCTTGATAATATTCATAGACCTTTTCTGATGGAACTACAGACGCTTTGCTCACAAAATTTTTGCCTTTGTTCCTAATCTCAAATTCCTCGTGTATTTTTCTGGAAATATTTTGTCTTTGTACCTCGCCTACATCTCAACGTCGTAGAACTTTACCTCATCCTTGCCCTCGTGGCTCATCTCGGTGTAGGTGGCATCACTGCGAATGGAGGCATCGTCGTCCGAGTCCTCTGTCAGCCAGCTGCCTCCACCGCCACTGGCCTCGGCGGCAGTGTCCTCCGACGCCGAGCCAGACCGTCGTGTCCTGCCAAGCAGGCCCAAGAGGCTCCTCCTCTTCTTCCTGTCTTCCATCTTCTGCTTCTTCTCCTCCGGAAGACCTGTTCCCAGGGTGGCACGAGTTGAACAAGTGCAAGGCAAAAAGATAGCACCAAACAAAGAAATAAGTTCCTCACTCCTGTCAAGGTTTCCTTTTATCCATTTCTTGTTCTCTCTGGCCATAGCCAAAGCCTCCTATCAAATCACATTATGCCCTTCAACTTACACCGGTGCAACGTAGGTAATGGAATGCTCATTCTGCACCTAGTTTCAATTGCATTTAGTTGGCTAGGTAGCGCCTGCGCGATTCAACTAACTTGTTGCACACGCTGTGAAGGAGATGCTCAGGGCACTTGCCCCGAGGCACGAAGTTGAAAGACATTGTGAAACTTATACGTGAGGCATTAACATACAACCCAATCATGAGTGAAAAAAGAAGCGCTGCATTCACCCTCGCTGTCTTCCTCTGTTTCAGTGGTAGGCCTCTTTTCAGCTGTCCCCGGCAGGTCTGAGCGTTCGCCAGGTCCGTCGGTGCAGTCTTGGTGCCCAGAGTCCGGGCTCTCCTGTCCGCCATTGGCTGGCCCACCCACCAACGTGTCTGCCACCTCGTCTGCAGGGTCTATCCCAATGCCACTGTCGTCCTTCTTCATGGGCCGTGCCTTCCTCTGATCTCCGCGGCTGCTCGGGTCCTTTGCAGAGTCCTTGGACTCTTTGGCAGGATTCTCCGCAGTTTCCGCGGTCTCTGGCTGCTCGGGAGTCCCTTCATCGCTGTGGGCAGCAGCCCCAGTTTCGGCACTCATTTCTTGATGTCAGCGAAACACCTTCACAAAGTCTCGTGCACCTGGAGAAATAGAAATTAAAAGCAACCATCAACTAAAATCCTCCCTCCATCCCAGTGTCGGGTTACATTCAGTACAAGTTAAATGCCAACCTGAAGAGTTTATGACTAAAGAACACAATGCCTGAATGCAACATAATTCAGGCAGCTGCACTATAAGACACAGAGGGGGAGCTTTTTTTTATATAAATGAGCCAAATGCAGAAACCGAAACTACCGTAAAATACAGGGCAAGCGCCCACTCAAAATTTAAAGATGATCGCGAAAAAATAGAGGATGGGCGCTTGTCTGGTCATTAATTTCACATATCAATGTACTGCGCATATTTCATCAGATCTCACAAATTTGGGTGTGGGCGCTTAATGTGCAGTGGGCGGATGCGCGGTATTCTACGGTAAGCCAATTTCAGCTGATGTTTGGGGGTCTTCGGTCATATCATGAGAGCAAAACCAATGTAAAGGTGGCCACGGTACAGAGCTGATATGTTTGATAAACACACATTCCTAGTTTTGCCACATTAATTTGTCTCAAAACAAAAAAAAAAGTGTTTTTTTATATGGTTTTTTAAATTAGAATTAATATTTCTGCTGATGCTGCACTGTCTACACTCTCATTTGACGCTGACAGTGAAGTAGAAACTACTAACCATTGAGCGCTTAGGATGTGCCTCTTTCATGTGACAGAGCTCTACCCTCATGCCTGTAGCCTTTGCTGGAGCTCTGACCTAAGGCCTACCAGAGATGAACCTACACATGTCCGTTTTCTGAATTATAAAAAAAATGGCTCATAGGGTCATTCCAGCTTGGCAGCCAAAGGTGAGGTTAAGATTGGCATCAGACTACTAACTGGTAAAGGAACTATGATGCAGTGTTAAGGAAATATGACAGAAGCTACGACTCTCACAAAAGGACTCGGCCTAATTGGGAACCGTTTGTTGTCTGCAAACACGTCTAATTAACCTTTTAAAGGGGCGATGCAGCAATTTTTGTATTTTGTGCCAATACCGCTTAGAACGGATCCCTGACGTTAATGACCTGTGAAATACCCGTTCGTTTTTCACCACACACAATCGAAGTCGCAGAAAAAAAATTAAGAAAAACGAGCAGAGTTCATCCCCTCAACTCGCAGCCAGAACAAGCGGCCACGTGATTGGGAGCCGATTATATGGCGCCAATGTTGATCACAGCCTCGCGCTGGGGTTGGCAAGGCACAGGACACGCGCTGAGTTCCAGCCATTGTTATGGTTCGGCTGTTGTCGTCATTGCAGCGATTGGACACAGGACACTACCCGAATGTTTCTCGAGCTATCGATTATCACGAGCCCAAATCGAGTGTCCACGCCATGCTCGAGTCCAATCTATGAGCCACATTCAAATATCGTCACTGGGCGGTACTGCTACCGCCGAGCTACGTCATCCGGTTTTGCAAAGGAGAGATTGAATGAAAACACTCGGTTTTGTCCTCGAAATTACAGCGCAACAAAGAAGTTTCTTGGTCAGTGGCGTTGCATGCGAGTATCCTTGAGTCTCACTACTGCCAGTAAGCTCGTGTAAATTGAAAGATATTCCAATTGAATATCGTTGCACCACCCCTTTAACCATTAAACATGAGCTTGGTTTGCCAGACGATGCATGCTTTGTTAGCAATTCTGAGAAAGCTGCAAGCACATAGGCATAGTTTCCCATGTTTTGTTTCACTTTACGAGGGTAAGCGGAGCCAAGACTATGCAACAGTACACTGAGTTATGCATATCAGCTGTGCAAGCGACCGAACCGGTCAGAGCTGATATGCATCACCTATGAGTGGGGCAACTGCCACACTCATAGCTCTGGTAAAGAAATTGTGATTGTCTCAAGGTTCAGAGGGTGTAATTGTTGCAGACTACAACATGGAAGACAGGATTACATGAAACAAAATCATGCAAAAGCCCCAGTTTAATGTTGGAATTCAGAATGCACGCTTCAAACCAGAAGAAGCTCGAGACGTCCTTGAAGTACATCTTGCACGGTAGGCTGTAAGCTGTAGTGCCATTTGTCAACTGACCTCTGTTTCTATTAAACAAAATGCTCCTTGGGGATACTGTTGAGTGGCTCATCTGTTAAGTCAAGCATGGAATTTACTTTGAGGCCAAAATCGTGCCCTATGTCGCTCGTCGCCGTCGCTCGGTTTTTGGATTTCTAGAAAACATTGCTCATCGCCTTGGTTGCTTGCTCCCGTCGCTTTCACGCAGTTCGCTTTGTCGCACGACTGACCAAACGACAGCGAAACAGGTCGCCGTCGCTTGTTTCATTGCTCCTCAAATCGCTTACATGCGGTTTATACTTTATGAACCACAAAAACGTAACTAAATGTCAATGCTAAAAAAGGCACAGCCTGTTAAGAAATAACCTAGGATTATGCACCTTTCTGATCATTTATTCTGAGGTCATTAAGAAGCCATTCAGTACTAATATCATAGAATAGCTCCCCGCTTCCCACCCCCTTTCTCCTTAGTAGAGGGCTTGTCGGCATTTGCCTCTAAGCTTTGCTGTAATCCATGGTAAGCGGCAAAAATAACCTCAGAAACATCACTCCTTCATTTTTACTTAAAAGGGCCCTGCAAGCACTTTTTTACTTGTTTTTTATTTGCACCAAACCTGAGCGCACTGATCGTAGTAACTTAATGTAACTTTTCTTTTCTCGAATTTCACTTTATTTTAAAAGTTATAGGCAAATTAAGATTACAAAAACACGCAAAAAATAACCTCCCTCATGACGTCTTTGGTTGCTTGAGTGGCCGTGAACTAGAAAAGAGATAGTGAGCTCAGCGAGCGCACACGGCTGCCACACTCCCTGTCGACGGCGCGAGAGGGCGCCACTAAAGCGTGTTCTGGATAGGCTGCATACAGCGAGCAGCCAGAGCGGCTCTCATTGCATTTGCTGCGGGATAGAACACTAATTCGGCATGACACTTCATTGGCCACAAACGACAGCAAACACGGGGTAAAAGTCAGTTCAGAATTTGAGTCCCTTCGCGCTGCCGTACCACGAAATGGCCAAAACGCAAGACAAAGCTACTTGCTGAAGGCCTTCGGAACGCTCGGAGCCGGTCGGATCCTCCAGTCCATAAACGACCACAGCGCCGTCGCGTACGTCCGGGACCTTTCCGTGTCCGGCGCCTGATCCCACTACTCTTTTCTAGTATGCGCCGCCTTTTCCACCGCGTGGTGGCGGGTATGTCGACGGGTCATTTCTTGTTTCCGTACTTTAAAACTGCATTTGTTTCTTTTCTGATTTAAAATACTGAACAAAAACTACTTTTATGAGTAATTGAAACGGTTCGTGCCACTTATATTTTGTATTTCGACTAAAAAAAAAGCTTTTAGTGGCTCTGACCAGTAGTAAGCCCAGGACCAAAGACGTCCCATTTTGCGCGCTTTCGGTACCGCGGGTCGCCCTAGTCGGTGGAGGAGGAGGTTTCCGCGTCGTCCGGTTAAAATATAATGCAATGATATTTAGTTACTCTCTCCGTGCCCGCTGGCTCGCCCGAACCCCAAGAGACTTGGAAACCGCAAAAAAGGTAGACGCTTAAATATGATTGCAGGGCCCCTTTAAGGTTCTGATATTTGACCTTGTTTCTCGTGACATCTCTAGAAAAGAAACAAAAAGGTTTGCCACGGAATTTTTTGAAATTTTTTGGAATCTTCTTCTAAAGGTACTAGCATGAGCAGAAAGCCTTTGTGCTGGCTGAAATATGGGCAATGAGGCTTTTATAGTTGTTAAAAAGATAAATCAAGAATGAACATGTGCAACGGTTCCATTAGCATCCACCAAAAAGATGTCTGCTATTGAGAGCAGCACATAGCAGTCTTTTCCAAACTATTTTTGTCTAAAACAAAGGCAAGAGCTACACAAGCAGGCAAACTGGCAACACGCAGAGGAAACAAACTATAATAGTTTCCAAGATTGAAGAAACCTCAAAATATTACATTGTGCATCTCACAATTTAGTTAATGATATATGGATGTAGGGTGGTCACACAAGATGCTGACATGGCAAAACTAACCGGAAAAGTTGGTGCCTGCACACAGGAACTTCACACTCACGCCAAATGCACATTTGGTGCGAGATTTTATTTTGCGGAATTTCAAGGCATAGCTGCGTTCCTGCGAAAAATGAGATCAACGTACTTGCCAAGGGTCAACGACAGATCTGTTTGGAGACGACCGAGTCGGCAACGACTGCAATTTGTGGTGCCATCTTTTGGTAGGTCCAGCGAGCAAACAACGCACTCTGTCGCCGGCTCTCACTAACCCTCACTAACTCAGTCGTCTAAATTTTATTGCCCTACTTCTCGGATGATATCGGTCTTAGCCCCATCCTCCCCCAGTACCAGCTGCCCTACAAGTTATGCAGACTGGACATGCACACACCCCACAAGGCCACCCAACCACCGAAAACGTATTTCCAACACGCCACTTGTCTTTATGCAAGCAGCGAGTCTACCACTGTAGATATAACTCTCTATAAATATATATATATATATATGTCTCTTCCTGTGTCCTCCATGTGCCCTCTCCCCCTCTCTAAAGTCCCTTTTCAGATGAATGCAGTCACGCAATCTTGAGGCTCATTTCAATTACACGCAAAAAAATATGTTTCAACAACTCGGTCACCGGCGAACCCGTCCACTGCTGACCCTGGCAAGTTTGTTGGTTTAATTTTCTACAGGAAGGGAGCTATGCCTTCAAATTGTACAAGGTAAAATAAACCACCTAAATAGGAGTTCCCGAGAAACAAGAACAGTGTTTTTTGGCTTGGTAAATAGGTAAAATAAACTAAGCATAGCAAAAAGCTCCAACATTGTGAGAATGTGACGCTAGCAGTTGGGATAGAACGCAAAAGTTTGAGGACATGAAATCACCTGAATCAAAAGATAATTGAGAAAAACAAAATTTTTCTGCGAGCTGACGTTCGGCTAAGCCTAGTATCGTCAAAACAAGAAATGACACTATGGGTGCTGTAGCATCTATTTCAGTAAAAAAGACTTGTCAACAAGAGAAAACAGTACCCTCTTTCGTGCTGAGAAGTCGTTTTCACTGAAACATATGCTACATACTCCCTCAGTGTCATTTTTTGTTGTAACAATATTAGGCTTAGGTGGACGTCAATTCAGAAAAATTTAGTTTTTCTCAATCCTTTTTTGATTGAGGTAATGTTACGTTTTGAAGCTTTCACGGACTTTGAGCTTTCTGGAATGCATAGTTTATTTACTTGGTACGAGGAACACAGTTCTTGTTTCTAAGAAACTCCCCAAGGGGATCGGTGGCCGAGTGGGCTAACACACTCCAGCGCGGAGCACGCGGAGCGAAAGCTCATGCTGCAGAACCCAGGGATCATGGGTTCAATCCCCACCCTTGCTCACCCATTTAGATCTGGATGAGCATTGTGCTGGCGTGCGGTCGTATATCACTACTGCATGGTGTACAATTAAAGACCCCAGGCTAGCGGTTGTACTGCACTGGCTAAATTTCTCGTCTACAGCTGGGAGACAAGTCGCTCGTTGAGGCAGACTAATAGCGAGTCCGTTTCACATGCACTGGCACCATTCCAGTTCTTTCCCAGAATGCATCGCACTTGCGGAGTGTCGCACGGAGAACTGGCCTCGAACGAACTTGCCAAATGCACGGAGTGCAGAAAACTGATGCTGCCGCCATCTATGTTGTACAAAGAGGACCGACATCAAACTGAAACTAGCGCCTTTCTGTTCGACATGATGGGTGGGAATGCAAGAGTGCAGTTGCTGCCAACATTTATCTATAAACGTGGGTTGCTGCAACCCATTCCTTTTATTTGCGATGACTTCAAGCAACTCGGCTGTCGTAGAGATATTTACAGACGGCATAAATTTCCGCCCAACCAGGGCCGTGTTCCAAAACTTACTCGATCTTACTCCAGGGTAAGGGTTTTGGACCTTGGCGTTTTAAAACCTACCCGCGTCCAGCGTTTTCCAATCTGTGTGTTCACGTGACAAGGGCCGCCAGAGTAATTCGGATCTATTTAAGTAATTGGAACACACCCCGCTGACTACCAACCATCTGGGGTTTACACTGATGAAAATTGACGATGATATCGGCTCAGAAGCTCGATCCGTAGCGTGAACCACAGAAAGGGTACGGCTTAAAACTAGCGTGTTGGAATATCCAGAAAAACGTTTTGTGAGGCTTTCGATTTCGATCGTAGTTACAGGGGGATCAGAATTTAAGCCTTGGTGACGTAGGTATTAAACATGATCATGTTGCCCAAACCTCGGGTAGAGTCAATATGCTTAGCTTTCTCGTATGCTTCGTGGGCAGTCACTGGTTTCTGCTGATGTTTAACAAATGTTAAATTTTTCACCCAGACATGCAGGTTTATTAGCATCTGCACAGCAACAGTGACTAAAAACCTGCCAATAAAGCATGGGTTGTCAATTGCTTCTTTTATGAAATAGCAGACGCTCACAATTCAAGCTCGCGCTTGATTTCGTTGCCCGCGGGACACGATTTCTATCAGAAAATCTACTTTTTCCCTTTCGGTTCCGCCGTACAAATGACACATAGTAGCAGACGAAACCTTCTTGCCTGTTCCCGCTCCTCGCCGGAGCGAGGCACGACGGGATTGCATTTTGGCGCACGCTCGATGTTCTCAGTGCAGCGAGTGCATGCACGTATGGGGTGCTGGCGCTGAAACAAACTCGGAGAGTGCAACCACTCGTGGAGTGCCGGCCGAAACAAACCCGCTCCACGCTGCGAGTGGGCACGAGTGCCATGAAACAAACTCGCTACAAGTCCTAGGCTGTATAAACATACGCACATCCCAATTTGCTTTTTTGGAGGGGAAACTCCTTGTACATTTGGTAAACTCCAGCTTTTTATAGCAGGCACCTATTTTTTTCGGCTTGTTTTAGAACACTAGGGCCCATTATGACCAACTTGTATACAACAAGCCCCCCCCCCCCCCCGCAAATAATTTAATATTTTTGCACTGCAAATATTAACTATGTGTTACCAAACACTCATTCTCCACTCAAATGCAATGCTAGCAGTCTGAACAAGAAGCCTGAGTTTCAGCATTAACTGTTATATTTAGGGTTCCGAGTTTTCGGTTTCAACCGATAAAAGTATGCCTAATTCATTTTCGGAAATTAGGTTTCAACCAAAAAAGGTCAGTTTGTAGGTTCAGCATTTTCAATTTAAACCGATAAAAGTATGTCTAACCCATTGTCTAAAATTCTGTTTTAACCGAAAAAGGTCAGTTGTTCAGGGCCGTGTCGAGGTGGGTGGTGGCGGAGGGGGTAGAGAAAGAGAGAGGACTTAGCAAGGTTCGACATAGTGAAACGTCTTCGAGATTGCTCTCTTCAAGGTTCAATATGCAACAAAAGAGGTCTTGGATCGGCCTTCACGGGACATCTGTGTCCTTTCTGTGATCAGGCTTAGTGTGTCAAGTTCCCGGCCCTAAGAAAAAAGTTTGGATGTGGGCTGGTACAAGGTTTTTTGCTTCATGCACTTCAGAGGACATTGAGGAAAGCGGTTAATACCTTTCTTAACACCCTCCCTCAAACTTCCCTGCAATTGAAAACATAAATACAATAAATTTTTTTTTCTTTTTGCCATTTTGCTGGTTTTTGTACGGTCATCACCTCAGAGGGTCACGTCGTCAGAATGGGAAGGAAGAAGAAGCGCGCTGAAGATTATTCCCGCGACTTCGAAGTGTGTCCTGACGGAAGTTGTAGCGAAGACCACGTATGTATATGTGCCGTTATCCTTCGGGTCATCACAAATATCACAGCTACAAGGATCATCTGATCCAATGTCCCATGGTGTTTCTTTCATATTCACCGAAGAAAAAAAGCGAAAATTGAATTTTAAAATAAATACCAAAAAAAGTAGGCCGAATTTTGAAAAAATAAAAACCGAAAACGAGGAATTCTAGTTATATTATTCAGAAGAGGGATTTTCTTAATGTGGCAGATTTTGCCTGTTTTTGGTAACTGGCACCATGGCACTCAATGTATCCGAGAGCTCTGTCGGTCGCCGGTTTCCTATTTAAAAATTATGAAAATCACATCTAACTTCTAAATAAAATAGCGGTTAGTGCTAAAACTTTGGCATCTGGTTCGGAACGCTAGGGCTACATTTGGGCGGAAAATGAGTGTTCGGCAATGCATACTTTATTTTTGCGATGAAAAAAACCTCGTGACTTTGTTTCGGAAAACATCTTGTATGGCCACTACGAAAAAAAGCACAAAAAGCTAGGCAACTGGAGATGGTCTTTTTTTTAATTATTCTTAATGACAGGGTTCTGCAGTGACCAACTAAGAGACCTGGGGAAATTTAACGAGTTTATTGTCCTTTCAATTAAATACTCACCTCAAGAACAATTTTAAAAAAAAGATCAATCTCTAGATATGACATATGGCACGTGTACCCTAACCATTTACTTAAAAAAAAAAAAAAAAAAAAAAGCATTGAAATTATAAATTTAGTTCCAACCTTACAAATATGACCCGGGGAGATGTTGCTCTAGAGTTTAGACCGTGCAGACAAAAACAATGAATTAACTCGGTCATCTTACGCTCATTTTCTAGTAGACGATAAAATTAGACGCAACGAAATTGGGTCCATTGTCAACGACCGATGCGACATGCAGCTGGTAGTCAATGAAGTCTTAGCACATCATATGAAAGCTTGCACTACGATACCCTCTGTGTAACTCCAAATTCACTAAGTAACATGTGGTCAAAATTAAACTTCGCAAACAAATGCCAAACACATTAGTAATTACGTAATGGAAGGGTAATCACGAAGATCGCTCGTCGCAGGCACAATTCTCATTAAACTGAACGTACGACGTGCAAACGGGGCGACAATGACGATGTTACTAACTATCCCCAGGTATGTGTCCTTCGCCAAATTCTTGCACCCATGTCGAAAACAAACCAAACGAGGACTGCCATTTTTTCCTGCGAGGTTAAGCCTATGGCTACGCAGGGCTCGTAAATAGTTTTGTGTAGGTAGGGTTGGTCCCCGCACATAATCAGAGAGCTCTTCGAGCAGTCAATGCACCCAGGGATCTTTAGTTGGGTCGCCAAACCGACCAGAACAGCGAAGTACGAATCACACGCCACCAACCTTTCCACCGTACGCTTCTCCGTGCATCGCGCAGTGTTTGAAACTCGCCCAGCTGATCGCTCTTCGGGAGATCGCTTTTCAGGATGAACTCAACCGAAACACGCTCTCAGCTTCAGTGCACTTGGGCACTGTACTGCGCCAAATAACGATGAATTAGTACGGGAGAAAATACTGTCATGTAGACTGTGAATTTACCATCGCCAGCACCAACGATGCAGTTCGAGAGTTCAAAATCGCTTCCGCAGCTCACACCAGAGGGCGGACTTTCTTTTTTTCTTTTTTGTCGTGTTTTCAATGCGTTGTTGTTGACTCGTCTTCGCGTTTCCCCAGGCGGCGGTGGCGGCGGTGGTGTCTTCTTTTTCTTTTTTTCGTTTTTCTCTCGCTTTGTGCGCTCAAGGCAGATGATTGTCGACAGCGGCATAGACAGCGGTGTGATAAGATGCGTGGAAGTAGTGTGGTAGTGTTCCCTTTGTACAACTCCCGGTTTTAATGTTGCGGTTGATTTGGTTGATTATGTTCCACTGGTTCCACCTGTGAGCGTTCTGACCAACGAATGAGCGTGCGTGGTTGACGCTGTTGAGATTTTTGTCTTCCATTAGCATCCTACTCGTTTTTAGGCACACCCACATCTCGCAAAGAATGGATGAAGGGAATTGCTTCGTGCTCCTCTCTCTCATCGAAGACAACGTCGACCACTTCGAGGGCGTGCAGACTGAGTACGGGCAACGCTTCTCGCAGCAGTTCAGCGATCTCCACGATGCGGTCACGCAACTCCGTGGCGACTGCATCCTGATCGGCGCAAAAGTTCACCTATACGACTTCGACGTAGAGACGCCCGGCAACGGGTACCGGACGTCGCTGACCATCGTGAACAGGTTTCTACCGGTCTGCATCAAGCTGTGCCGGCATGTCATCTCCAGCCGTGCTTCCATGTTCTTCCGAACAGACTTTTACCACCGAGAGCTGGACGCCCACCTGAGTGTTGTGGCCGGCATGCAAGTGAGCGCCCAGTTCCTCCTCCGGATGCTGGACGCCGGCCCTCGCGGCGACCTGTTTGTCAGCGAGAAAGTGAGCATCCGTGAGCTGCTCGAGGAGTACGGCACGCTCCCGCAGGTCGGCTTCTACGGACGATTGGCCGGGTTTTACGTGAGTAAATGTCACGGCTTCGCCCGAATGATCGTGAAGAACTAACACTGTTTTCCGTACGCGTATTTTATTTGGTAGACGGACTCATCTCGGCAGAATCTAACAACTTAACCGATGGTAAACATGCTTAGCTCGTCAGTTCTTTTTTGCCCCCAGACAAATGTGGGTTTTATGTTGTTGCAGCCAGTGCCATAAAGGTGTAATGGTAAAATATATACAGTAGTTTAGATTAACGTCCCTAAGTTTTAAATGAATCGACCCAAGACGGAGTGAGCTCTGTGGGAAACATCAGAATAGTAGCTGAAGTTTCGTCAATATGTTTAGCTTCAGGCAGCACGCTGAAGAAGCTTTGCTGTCACCTGGAATTTACCAGGTGACAGCTCGTGGGTTCCACTTCGGTCCCTTTTTTCTGCCTTATTTTTCATAAAGGAATCATGAAACAATTTTTCACCTTGCCATCTAGTGCCCAGAATAAACTCTTAAACTTCTTTTCTGTTGTTGTCTTTTATGGCATTAACTCAACCTGAGGGGCATGTTGCAGCCTCAGAAGTAGCAAGAAGCCCCTGCAGCCATTTGCGTTTGACCGCGTCATGGGGGTTCGCAATTGATGACTTCTTAAAGGCAATAATCACTACAAGAAGAGAATTAAAGATCATGCAGTTTCCTACTGCCAGTGTCCTTTCAAATATCCTTTTAATAGACAGAAGACACCACGCTTCACTGTTTTGTTGTCTCTTTGCATGATTTGTGTTTGTAAATTGTATCTTTGGCACATTAGATGCTAGGAAAGAGCAACTCAAAAATGACTGACATTAAACTTTTACTTTGGGCAGTTCTGCGAGTCAATGCGTCGCATCATCACGGGACTCAATGTGGTGATGGCCTCGTTCAGTGACCAGTACCTCCAATCCGGAGGTGCGCTAGCGCATGCCGCAGCCTCCCTTATCAACTGTGGGAAGTATGCCCTGAACCCCGAGGCCCGTGCCAGCCACATTGTGGACGTCACCCAGAACGCATCTCTGGACTTCCTGAAGGCCTTCTGGAGCCTCAACGAGGGGGACCTTCTTCGGGTCTGTCTACCTTAATCGTGTTTCCGTTTATGAAACCTCCAAGCACCTGGTGTCTGTGAGAAAATTTTAGTGTTTTTTTTTCACCGCAAAAATAAACTGAAGAGCTACGATCAGGGGTAGGTCTAGTGGTTCGGACCAGATGCCAAAGTTTTGGAGCACGCTATTATCTGATAAAAAAATTCTAAGCTAGGTGGTGCAAGCTGCCATCCAGTATAAAGGGTACAGCTGTTAGCATCCATCCATCAGAGCCGTATATAGAGAGAGTTAGGCCACTCATTGGGAAGGATAGGAGGCAAATAAGGAGGTGCCATTGGCCAAGAGCGGGGCTGGGCGTGTTCCAGGGATGAATTGATGGATGGATGTTACTGGGTATACCCTTTATAACGGGCCAACCAGAAGCAAGAAATAATACCTTGGCAGTGGTCGTGAGAAATCAAATGAAGCGCTTCAGAGTAACTCTCGGTGACTGCAAATATGATGCACGTGATGTTTCAATCACGGTTCTCCAAAATCATGGTGGAAGAGCACGACTATACTCCGTTTCACCTTCAGTCCGAGCGCAGTGGACGCCACGAGCCATCCCAGCCGATCCAGCGCCGGGAGAAAGTCGCGTGACCTGCCGGTGGGGCGGAGCGACACAGGGAGCTCAAGGTCGCATGACACTCCCTCAACGCCGCATTGGCTGGGATGGCTCCTAGCGTCCGCTGTGCTCGGACGGAAGGTGAAACGGAGTATAGTGGAACGATCTACATAATCCGTATGCTAGGCGCCGCGGGCCGGGAATTTGTTGTTTGAGCTGTCACACTCTGTTCGAGCAAAACAGAGTTTGAGCTGCACATTCGTTTCTTACATCCTTTTGCATGACCATAATCGAAACATCACGTGCACCATATTTTCAACCATGGAGAGTTACTACATTTATCTCGTACGCTCTTATTAAAACTGTTTCTCGCTACCACTGCTAGAGGTTCCTTTTCATCTCCTGGTTGGCCAAGAGAGCATGCCAAGCCCTCTATCTGCATCTGGTACACGCCATGGCTATGCCCACTCCTCCTATTGATCAAACTCTCTGTACACGGCTCTGCCATCCATCGATCCATAAGTGATTTTCAGAAATGTTCTATAAGAAATAGGGGCCCGTTTGAAGGTAGTTGATGTCGTTCATCTCCATGCATTCGTGGGCTTTGTTGGCACCCGTTTTTCTAATGAAAATTTCCGAAAGTCGCTTATAACTTTTGAACCAGATAATGGCAAACACTGAAACGTTGGCATTTTGTCTGAACTGCCAGTGCTGCATTTGTGCACAGACTGAGTGTTGGCAATGCATAATACTGAGTGTTTGTAGCTTCACAAGTAATAGCGTCAAGCAATAAAAAAGAGTCGCATCATCCTATTGTCTTCATTGACATTCACTGTCTTAAAAATAAAAAAAAAAGCTAGTGGTATGTCAAGTACACATAGCAGAGCGCGTTGGATAGAGTACAGTTCACACTGAAAGAATAAAAACACAGAAAATACACGAGGGACAGACACAGTTCTTTCAAAGAACTGTGTGTGTCTGTCCCTCGTGTATTTTCTGTGTTTTTATTCTTTCAGTGTGAACGGTATGTCAAGTCTGTTTTATACTTTTTTCTCCTGGTCTCGTGCAAAAAACATAACTCAATAATTCATAAAAAACGCTTGTTTCTACAGCCCAAAAATAATTATGTGGTATTGTTTGAACAAAATACACATTGAGCAGCACCCTCTTTGATGCTGCCAATTTGACATTCAACTCGAATATTATCGCAGAATGTTAGGTGGAAAGGTGCTGGACCTTTTTCCAGCAGTACTTCCGACAACAGTCCTTCGCAAATGCTTGTCTGCTATCAACAGGCCACTGTTTTCATTTTGCATTATCTCCCAGTGATGTCATAGAGCCTTGTGATTAGGGGCGCGTGCCTGGGTTTATGCCCTTCCTGTCAACAATTGGTATCAGCTGCTGGAGGCTGTTACTATGTCCAGTGTCTCATCACGTTCATCCTTTTTGAAACTTAGCTAGTTGCAAAGTATCTGAAAATGAATTGCAGATTCAATGTGAGTGTTGAGTAAAATGATGCAGGCAACACCTTGTGCTACAACCTGAACAAAATTTGCATATGATTGATTGTATTCCATCAGCAGTGGGCAGATAACATCGTTCCTCTACTTAAGTCAGAGCCATAGAGCAGTTTGATAGGTCATTTGTGCACTGTAGTATCCGCTCTGTAGATAAGTAACCTATATATATTTTATTGCAGAGATAAAAGCAGTATATGGCTACACTTCAGAATATTCATGTTTGTCCAGTTGTAGAATGTATTGAATAGCTGATTTAGGTGGACTTCCTCATCGCCAATGCAATAGAAAAATGTTAATCCTCTTAATATATGAGGTGTGGATGACAACTGAACATTGCTCAATTCTGATTCAGCATAGAGAACACACCTGCACTTAATTTTAATTTTGTATTTACATTAGTTTAAGTTGATCTATTTGTAGTGGTATACTAGCTACACCCTCACGAAGAGGCAAAGGTTTATTAATAGGCTAGCTACCTGGGAGCTTTACTGCTTCTTGGAAGGAAGTAAAAAATAAAATGAGACGTTTACAATTTCCTGTAATGCCGAATTAGAGCGCAGCTCTTGAGGAGGAGGGAAGGGTCTGCCCCTCCTCCCCCTCTGTATTTTCTCCTGTTCCCCTCCCATTTAGCGGGAACTGTATTGCAAATTTCCCAGCTCAATTTAGTGGGGAAACTGAATTGGTGTTGAGGTATTATGATGTCAATTTCCCCTCTAAATTTAGTGGGGAAACTTAACCCGCTAAATTCGGCGGGGAAACTTAACCCGCTAAATTTAGCGGGAAAATTTTCCTGCTAAATTCAGTAGAAAAATTCTCCACTAAATTTAGGGGGGAACGTCTCATGATGCAACATGCGCGATTATGTTGACGGCGCCGCCGCTTAAGCCCGAAACGGGCACCTAAGAGCTGCGCTGCAAAACTGGGCACAAGTATGCTCCTCTTCTGCTGCGTCTCTGCAATGCCTCATTGCATAAAGTGAATGACCTTCTAGGGTGGAGTTGCGCATTGCTTCTGATGTGTGCAAAGATATCTTTCTGTATGTAATGGGAAGTGACCACTGATGCAATATCCCAAGTCAGCTTGATTGTGTTTGACCCTAAAGATATTCAAGGCTTTTAGAACCGCTGGTCCACTAACCTCACTTTTTTTTGTCTGTTGCCCCTTCTCAGAAAGTGCCGCAGTGGCTATGCCCTTCGCTAGAAGTGGTGGAGGTGTTGAATGTGCCGGCGGAGCAACAAACTCTCTTGGCCGAGGACGGTGTAACTGTGGTCAACATTCCCATTCCCTCGTCTCACAAGCCCATGTCCCCCGTCCGCTGCAGGCTTCTCTCCTATCACCAGCGCAAGGGACAGGTCTGCTTCTTTCCTGTTCATAATTTTTTACTGCTCGGCTGGTTGCTTCCTGTATTCGTCCTTTTGGACAAGCGGAAGTCAGCCACATGCATAGACGATAGAAAGGGTTAGTCTAAGAGTTTTGTACCATGTTTTAAAGTGGCCCTTTTTCGAGCACCGTCTGCAAGGTTGTCTGTGAACCACAGATGAGGGGCAGCCCAACATACCTCCCCTGCCCGTTGAAAGACCTCCCCTGCCCGTTGAAAGACTCAAAACACGCTGGCATCGGGCTGTTCTATCGGTTTTCATTGCTTTTTGTGCCCCATATTACCGATGCTCAAAAAAAAAAAAAAGAATCGTCGAAAAAGACGAAATACGCTCAGAGATAGCTGCTGATAATGTTGGTCGTGCGGGATGGTGCCCTCCGGAAGTGGCAATGGCGGGAAGCAAGTCCAGGGGAGGGGGTGTACGCACGCACCAAAGCTTACTGGAAAAAGGTTAATTACATAACAGTATCCCATGAAATACTTCAACATCAGTCTTCATCTTTATGTTAAGTAATATTCACCTTATGCTGACCATGATATTTATGGGTTTTTAAGTCTCCCAGGCTACCTATCCCAACAAAGAAAGTCTTAAATGATCACATTTTCAACTATTCTTTGTTTTTATCTTATCACATTTTCAAGCACATTGAAGAGTAAGTATTCAATGATTTCTGAATGGCCGTTTTACTTTGTGCCTCCCTTAGTCAACTGTTGGGCCCTAGGGTGGCTCAGAGCAGCCAATTTCTCATGGAATAACAGACTGGGCTCCTCCTAATGGGCATCCCAGAGGTGGGGGAGAAGGGGCTGTACAAGCACACCACTTTGCTTGGGAAATGTCAGGGTACCTGATGGGGAAGGAAAATACGAAACACAATTTAAGAAAGGCAGGCTTTCTATAATTTTTCTTCTTTCTGCAGCTGTTGTATGGTTCCAAAACATGATTCAGGCAATCCTCTGAAGTGATCTAGAAATGCTTTCATCCGTTCATCTGTTATGCCTATATATTCTTATCCCACAAGGTTTCTTTCTATAGTTTTACTTGCTGAAGGGAAGCTTTTTAGAGCTTTATTATCCAGCCTCAGGTTATCAGTCTGAAAAAAAATGTGTATTTTAGGAAAACAGAAAGAAAGAAACATAATACTGATACAAATAAAGCAGGAAAAACAAATTATAACATGACAGGGGCATTGCATATGAAGCTCAGTAACGTTTGTTGATGAATGGCTTAATGTTGCTGCAGAAACAATTGAAGAAGATGTCTCGTATGACTCTGTTTTTAAAAGGAATGACCAGCTCTAGTTAAAGTAAAAGAAGAGAAAAAAGACGGCGTTATCACCACTTGAGAAACTGGAAAGAAGCCGTGCAAGCAGCACTTGTGTTGGAAGGTCCCATTGTGCTGCGGCTGCACAGGCCGGTGATGACCTCATTGTTTTCTCTTGCCATGTGCGTGGCCTACCTTGTTGACCTTTCAACACACTTTTCCCAGCTAGTCGCTCCTAGTAAGGTGATGAAACCCTTGAAGAGATTCTAGGATAACTTGACCCAGCTTGATAATATCAGGAGTGCAAGGGAAAAATAACCCCATAAGCGGTTTCTTTTCCAAGGTGAAGTTTAGATGCCAATCTGTCACTTGTAGCTTTCTCCGGGTTAAGTTCAAGATAAGAAATGGCACTTGTTAACTCTGTCTGTATCTGTTGCACTTGCTAACATTCTTGAACTCGTAAAAAACAAGAACAAAAAAAGATGACGGTATGATCAGCTTTTGGAATGAAATTATAAATCTGTTTGTATAAAAAGAACAATCACCATAGCTGCTCTGGACTTTTTTTTTAAATTAGTGGTTTGGAGTTAAAGCACTATTAGTTGTTTTTATAATAATATTGGAGACAACATCAGCTAAATTTGATGCCCCCGATTTGATAATGCAGCACCTACATAACTATGCTGTTTATCAGAATTTAGTCATTGCAACTACTACGGTATGCTCTAGTATTTTAGTTTATAGGGTGTAACTAAGCTATTAGGTGTTTCTGTCAATATGTTGCACTTTGCCACAGCATTCATCCATAGGTGTGAGTGTGCAGAATGTTGTAAGGCAAATATCAGGATTGTAGAGCTCATATCTGCCCCTAATCTTATGGAGTGAATGGGCTAACACGCACGAGAAGAAAATATGATATGCCTTGTGATGGTTGCCTTAGATTTCCCAAGAATGTGACATCGGAGATAAGGTTTTTGCGTCCTCTTGATTCCTGTCAGTTCCCCTCGACTGCTGACTGATATCTGAAACCGCCAAGTTTCTTTATCTGCTGGCCCGTTGGTTTGATGTAAAAAATCTCTCCCTCGTTTATGGGTCTTGCCACTTTGTGCTCAGTCTTTGTGCACATCTCATAGGTTCTTTTTTTTTGTCTTTAGTTCATTTCCAGTGGGCCTATGCATAGGCTGTTTTTAGAAGCTTTGTTCTCAGGCCATGCCATATAAACTAGCTGGTGGTTAGTATTGCTGGAAACTGCACTAAAAGATTTGACATAGAAAACTAGGTCACATCAACGGTTTTTCTGTAGCAAATTGAATTTATGCATTGTCCAAAAAATCTTTACAAACATTATTTAGGTGGGCCTGGGTTCAGGTAGTATATTTTAAGAATACTCGTAACATTTGGAGTGCAGCATTCAGCAGGGGAGGCAATGACTTTACTTGCTTTTTGTTAGTCATCTTAAAAGCAAAGTTGAAACTGTTTTGCCATGTGTTATTCTCTATGCTGATGTACCATTTGTGCAGATTGGCAATAAAGCAAGAATTTATAAAAAATTGGCAAAGAAAAACTGAAGTTGATCAATCTTGTTTTTTCTCAAGACTTACCTTTATTTGTCACCTACTAGCCAATGTTGCACCTGTAGTAGTAGTTACAGAACCACTAAGTTCATTCCCAATACACCTTGCCGTTACAGAATGTGCCACAAATACTTCTTCATATCTCTGCTGGCCTTTTGGTCAGTTGCTTACAATTTATGAGGTGATTGTAATTAGCTCACAGTACAACAATCCTCACACTGTCTCAGAGTTTTTGCATATTGTACATTTTCTCTCCCATCTCACAGGAATCTCTGACAGGAAAAAAATGGCTGTCAAACCCGTTGCCAGCGTCCAATGGGCTTCTGCTGCACTGCCACGGGGGAGGATTCGTATCCCAAACGCCAGACTCTCACGAGGTGGGCCCACCAACTAAACACTTGTCATGTTGCTTCACCCATGTTCACTTTTTCTTTCTGTAGTTACTCTTTATATGGTTGGTTCCACTGAGAAATGGAGTGTTCATTCACCTGTTCTTTATATTGGCATGATTTTGTTTACGTGTTAGTACTATTAGGATGATGAAACCCAATTGGCATGATCCTGATAGCCAAATATGACATTGATTGATGAAATGTTAAGGTCAGCATATGGGGCTCGGCGCGTGATGGTAATCCACGCCACTGCCCATGGGTTGTTGCCTTCGTAACGACATGGTCAAATTAGCGGGTTGCTTGGATTGCGAAAACATGTACAGTGCAAGTTTTGGTTCACTCTTTCAATATTAGTTTTGAATAGAGCAGCGTCTTTCAAGGTTGAAATGCTTTTTCTTGCCTACAGTTTTTTCCCAAAGGGATTCTTTACAACATGCTTAGTAGGTAGTACATTGTGTGTGATGAAAGCAGCTGAGATAAGTGAAAAAGACATGAGAACAGTACCATAAAATAATTCCGCGTTGCTACCCTCGTGTACTCATTTTACTGAATCTCGCATTCTTTCATCATGTATAACATCCACCAGCTTGCCCGTACAGTCTGCTGCAATATGTAAGACCCAATGGGAGTGCGTGGCTGGCAGTGGCGCTGCACGCGCTCTAGGCGATTATATTTTGTCTCGAGGGGAGGACTCACTCGGGGCTCAGCTAAAGCGCAACGTGCAGTTTTCGGGTTCTGGTTTCGGTTCCGCGGCTAAGAGCAGTTCGTCAGCGTCATGCCACGGCTATATCCTACTAACGCCAGAGCTGCTGTCCGAAAGAGGCCGGCCTGAGCCACGGCGAAATTTCTGTCTTTTGAATGAATGCCCGCCTCAATGGATTTCATCTTTTAATTAAATGTACGACTCAGGTATAACTTTTAATATTTGTTTATTTGGCAATGCCTCTTCGTATATTTTACACCAGAGACAACTGATAAGAAAACGGTGATGACTATGTTTGTTTTGAGCCTTTGTGACCATATGTCTAAGCATGACGCTGATGAAGTGTACACTTCCGCTAAACTGCAACCAAAAACTCTAAAGCTCCGAAGAATTGAACCTGAAGTGAGTGTCCTCTACTCAAGAGAGAATGGAATCCCCCGGAGCACAAGCAGCGCTCCTGCCCGCCACCATTTCGACCGTGCATTCTTAGTGGGTCTTTCATATTGCGTGATATAAATTCTATTTCGGCGTAATGTTTTTCAAATGACCTACTACCTTGAAATGAGTGAAAGACGAAAGTTATGTCCTTTTCTAGGAAGCGTGAAATTCAGAGTTTTCCCTATGTAGTAGATGCCACCGATATTACTTGTGTTGAGGTCATCCGTGATCTAGGCATTTTTATAGATCCTGCATTAATTTCAATCACGTGACTAGAATTGCGAATGCTTCCTTTAGAGTGCTGGGAGCCATTACGCGAGTTCCACGCAATTTTTTTAACCCGCTTTGTATTCTATGTTTGTTTTCTGCACTGGTGCGTAGTCGTGTCGAATATGCCTCAGTTGTCTGGAACTGTATTGGAATGACAAATTTAGGTGTAATTGAGAGTGTTGAACATAGATATGTTAGTGTATTGTTTGATCGTTATTTTCAACCGAAATATTTCTATAGTTTTGAGAGGATTTGTGAACTCGTGAAGTTAGACTCGTTGCGCCACAGGAGAACAATTCATGGTCTGACATATTTGTACAAGATTGCAAATGGTATAATTGATTCACCAGAGCTACTCAGTCACATCTACTTGCATATTCCTCGTAGGTCTAGTAGGCTTTATACTTTGTTTTACCCTGCCGATTTGTACCATGCTGCACCCATGAAGGCCCGTTCACACTCTTGCGACTGCTTGCGACCTCTTAAACCTGGGTTCCTTAAAACTTCTTAAACCAGAGAACAGACTGGCGCCATCTATTGGGAAGCAGTGTAAACTCGGCGGTCCGGCATATTTTTTTTTATTTCTCGCGCAATATCCTTTCTTTTTTTGGCTCGAAAAACTTTTGTCAATGTTATAAACGAGCCTTTCTATGTGTATTACGCACATTTGACCTCGGAAATCCCGCAAAACCTTCGCTTTTGTGAAATGCAGTTCTAGGGTCACCGCATAGATGGCGCCACAATGTCAGTGTGTCCCCTCATTCTAGAAACATTTAAGAAGTTGTAAGAGATCTCGTCTCTCTCAGTCATACTCGGTCGCAAGAGTGTGAACGGGCCTTGACATGCCTACAACTGACGTATAACCATTTAGAACAGATTCGTGGGAATGTTAGCCTTGATATTTTTTATGAAGAGCGTAAATTTCGAAAGTATGTTGAGACTATTGTTTTGCCCTAATATTTCATTTTTAACCTGTTTACAATTTTACTACTAATTGACTCATTGATAAGTGCTCCACTAAGGAGGCGTTAAACTGTTGGTGACTCACTCAAAATAAAAACAAAAAACACCGTACACTCATCAGTGTTTAGTAACATGACTACTGTACCTGAAGGAATCTGAGATGATGCTTCGTGTTGAGAGTTCCCAGCCAATTCCAAAATAATGATTGCGGCAGCGGTAGCCACCGATGCTCTTTTTTTAGCGATGTTTGGCTAAACATCTTATGCATAACTGTTCTTTTTTACGGTTGCTGGCATGGAACTTGGCGCAGCCTGCAACCTATTCAAACTCGTACGGAATGCGTGATAGACCATGCAACTTGTCTGCTTTTATGCTTGCATTCATCAGTAGAGCTGCGAGGCAGACGTAAGTTTATTTGATTGAACACTGCAACTCGGTGGTAGATTAACCCTGTCGCTGCCACCTGATTTCATCCCTGGCTTGCACATGACATCATTGCACTAGGCTGGTGGTCATTTCTAGTTGTTCTTGCTGAGAAAAACAAATTCAGTGGTGCAAAATGTTTGCCACAGAAGGTATGCACTTGGCAGCAATGCTGCCACAATGGCCGCTGATCTGTCTAAACCACTTAAAAAATTTTATGAACAAAAGTGACCTGTGTTAAAGGTGTTTTGCATTGGGTTGCTTGATTCATATCCACCTGTTACTAATCAGCCAAGCATGGACTCTCGTGCTAGATTAATTGCAATAAGTCATCAACCTTGTTGATATGGTTATCTTCTCGGACTTTGTTTTCTGTGGGAGAGGGGGGGTCTAGAGGTCTGAAGCTTTGTTGTTATAGCTCAGTCTTTGCTTTATTTGTGAACAGGCACTCTGAGGTAGTTTTTGGCTCCAAAGAGCTACCTATTTTGACCAGCTGTTCTCAGTTTGCATGTGCTATGTACTTTTGTTTTGTTTTCAATCTTTGTTGCATCTCATGTGTGTGTTTTATATACGAATGTGTTTCAGACAACTTGTTTATTCATAATTAAATTTGCAGTTTCCTCGTTTGTCTTTTAGCCATGCAGAACTATCGGTTCTATCTTGCTGTGCCAAACTGCCCTTGGATAGGCAGTGAAGTGGTTGAGTGTTTTGATTATGTAGTGCATATGTTTGGACAGCGGGAGGTTGGTCAGCCCCAATGGATGTCTGCTGCCTCCGCTGTAGATAAGAAATTTAGCCATCGCTGGCTTGGGGCCTTTAACATTAATCATGCTGTAACAACACACCTCCGCACACCGGTATGATGCCTATTTAGATCGAAATGGGTGGGGTTGGCCGTGCTCTAAGCTGCAGTATGTTAACACACTCGGCTAGTGATCCCTGATAGAGTGTTCCCCCCATGCCTATTCACCTCGAGATCGAACAGTGTCGCCACCGTGCGGCCAAAATTGGAAACATGTGAAAGGGGGGTACCGTTGTGCGTCGTCTGCTACAGGCGCATGGTCAGTAGCATGGACCTCGATGATGCAAGCCTGTTTCCGGCTGAGTTGAGCCCTCCTCATTAAATTCTTGCTGTTTTTGTTGTCGTTTCTTCCTAATAAAGGTTATGCTGCATTGTTTCACATGCATGGAAATTCAGCAAAACGATTATTATTAAGTCGGATGCTCCCATAATCTTAGTGTTGTGGTTTGTATACAACTGCTGGTCCCACATGTTTCTGTTATCTCATAGAAACCATGGCTTTCCTAAAACATTGAATGTTGATTGGAGCTGTGGTTTGACTAAAAATTGTAGAGCCCTTCCACTTCACGTGAAGATGGAGGACCAGCGAAGCTGTTATTTCTACGACGTCTAGGATGATGTCAAGAGGACGACGTCTAGGACGTCCTCAAGGCCAACCTCATGGACAACGCCTAGAGGACAACGTTTACACGACCTCAAGGGTGACGTCTAGTACAACCTCTTCAACGACTTTTAGGACGACTTCGAGGATGACCTCAAGGACGACTTCTAGGACAACGCCTAGGACGACCTCGAGGACGATGCCTAGAGATGATAACAAGGGATCAGGATTTCACTATCTTATAATGTCAAGGAAGGCTGACTCACATTGGTTGCCCCCTCTTTTTATTTTTATTTATTTACACTTGCTACGTCCAATGGGGAGTTTTCTGTCAACGTCTACAGACACATTTTTTCCCAGATCCTAGCGCATAACAGCTTCGCTGTAAAAATTAGTCTAACTGATCACTACCCTTTAAGAGACTACAGTCGAACCTCGATATAACGAACTTCAATGTAACGAAATCCTCGATTTAACGAAGTATTTTATTTTTCATAATTTCTTGCCCATAGACTCCATGTATTTTTAGTCTCTATATAACGAAGTCTATTTTGCTGCTATTTCAATATAACGAAGCGCCATTGCCATAGAAGGCAATAAATAAAAACTCTAAAAAACAACTTCGCAAAAAAATTGTGGTTAAATAAAAAAAATTATTCGCAAACGCGAGCGCTTGCTAGGTTACTTCACGGGGACAGGCCTTCCAACGTTCCTAGGCTGCCCGAGGATGCGGCGCCGGTAGCGCCGGCGAGGCGTGGGGCAAAGCGGATTCCGCGGGGCTGGCCAGAAAATGCCGAGCAAAAAGTTAACACGGCATAGCAGCATCACCACTGACATTCACTGATCATGATAGTTCACTGTACCGCGGGTAGCGCGGGAGCCAACTTCAGCGGGGGAGCGACGTGATGGCGCGACCGCACGGGCAGTGCCATCTAGGAGAAGACCGATTATCGTCTTGCGAGCGTGATGTAAAGCAAAGGCGCAAGCACACTGTGGGCGCAAGGGGGCAAGTAAACTGTGCGGTCAAGAGTGCTGTGTAGGTTGGAAACATTGGCACCGCCTAAGCAGCTTTATTTTTCAACCGGGCGGTTCACTCACGTGCTTGCTGCCATAGGGAAACGTAAAGCTCTTTCTTTGGATGAGAAAGCAAACGTTTTGGACGCCATCCTGAAGAAACTGCCGAGATCACGAGCACTCGAAAAGTGCTCGACGCAATGGACGTACTGAGGAGGTACACGGCGTCGCATGGGCGGCAAGATGCCGTGCAAGTGCTCTGGGCGCTCGAACGACGTATGACGCCGCTGGTACTGTCGGACAAGGCGCAAGCAAAACTCGCGGACTACTTTGCCCCTAAATAAATGTCATTTTCGGTGAGTTTTCATACCCGTAAAATGTTTCGGAATTTTTTTTTTTGCATCCTAAAGCCAAATTTCGATTTAGCGAAATTTCAATGTAACGAAGTAAATTGCGAATTTTACCGACTTCGTTAAATCGAGGTTCAACTGTATAATCAGTTGATAAGTTTGTTGATTTTTCACTGGTCATAGTATTGCACGAAAGATGTTCAAACTACCAATGGCATTATTGCATTCCCATTTTAAACTTCACATTGTGACACCTACAAAAATATGAACACTGGAAGCATTTTAAAGTGAAGTAATTTTTAAGTTATTATTTAAATGGTATAATTACTCAATGACAATCACAAGCATGCTGAAGTGGTTTACCGTGCAAGCCTGTGTCCTACAAAAAATAAAAGTGTTGCGTATATCGAAGCGGGCATTTTTTACTTTTTCCTGTGTTCTCCAGCAAAAGATTCCGATTAAACGGTAAAAACAAATATTGCAAATAAAACATAACTTGAGAAATCGGAAGGTTAATTCATGAACTGCCCAGTCCCGATATGCGTTAGGTGAGGGCAGCGGGTGATGGGAAAGTCTCGTGAAAGTCACCAGCCCTTATCATTAAAAAAGTGTCGCTGCGACCGATACTATCTGTGCAGTGGTGCGGGTCATTTGTTGCAGTTGCAGAGTCTACTATGTTTGAATAGAAAATTATTCAGCTGGAAATTTATAATATTAGCCTTGTCACATCCGCGGCTCTCACCGAGAATATTGGAGCGGGTGAACCCACACTACCAAGAAAAGCATCTAATAACACACGCGCTACTGCGCTGCTCAGTTACACCCATTTGTTCCACTCGCGTTAGATATATTAGAATAGTTTGTGCCACTTGTTTCAGTTGTCCTGTCAATGAACAGTTTCCGGATCGTAACTAGAAGAGGCACTCTCTCCTCATTGCAACGTTGTAGAATTTTTCCAACTCCGAAAAACTTACCCAAACCATGGCACAGTAAAGGGAAACATCGGCTACAGCAGTAATTTTCAATGCAGCTCTAACTTCTCTTCATTCTAAATATTTATATTGCTTCAAAAGCGAAAAGTTGCAAAAACAAAAATGCATAGTACCTGCGATTTCACAGCCTACAGTGCCCATAGTATGTTATCCAAGTGGAGAACCGATACATCTATTTGGAAAACCGATACATCTATTTTAAGAGAAACAAATATTTAACATAAATAGTGCAGTTCACCCGGAAACAAGCATCCGTCGTGGTGATCCAGGCTTCCCAACGTCTGCCTAGAGCAGACGACGCATCCACATGAGGGATTATATAAATTTAGGCCGTACGCTGGTAACACAATTCAATCTTCACTGAAGCATCGAACAGTACCGCATTATTTTCGTTAAAAATATTTTCCCACCGATACTGTGCGACAAAATAAACGCAAGAATCTACATCGTCTTGTGCGCAAGCATGGAGAGCCTATGGGGCAGCCATACTTCTATCTCCGCTTTGATGATGATGATAGCACAACAGTAGCACCACCTCTAGGTCGATCTCGAGGCCAACACTCAAGCAAACTTTTAGTATAGCTTATAAATTAGTCCCCTTGTCACAGTTCCAACTGGGCTTGTGATGTCTATTGATGAGTGCCCTTTTTAGGTAAATCAGCTTTACTTTAATAACTTTTTACTGGCCCATGTATGTACAGTGGAATTTTAGAAGCTATCTAATTATGCATGTACCAGACTTAGCAACCAGGACAGAGTTACACAATCGAATCAGTTAAAAACATTCTTAATATATACCTCATTTGCTCCACATTCACACTAGAGTAGGACCCTCCAACACGTAATGGTCCCGCTGAACACCTATAGGGTACACACAGAGGATTTCGCCCCTGTAGCTTATAAAAATAATGTAACGAAAATGGCTGAAATTTGGGAGTTTCCTGAGCATGCCCCATTCTCACGGCTCCTTGCAGATTTACCTCAGGGACTGGGCAAAGGACTTGGACGTTCCCATTCTGACAGTGGACTACTCGCTGTCACCCGAAGCCCCGTTTCCTCGTGCCTTGGAAGAGGTCCTCCACGTCTATGCCTGGGCACTTTGTAACTGCGAAAAACTAGGTGAGACAAGCTACAATCCCTCAAGTAGCGTGGCCATTCCTTTGCACACTCCTTCCAAGTAGCAAGGGCTGGACTTCATAGAGCGAATATGTGGCAAACTTCGTCTTGGGGCATGTTCACTTTGCATTTGTTGCAAACAGCTGCTTTTTGCGCAGAGTGAACATAGATGGGCACAATGTGCCGCTAGTTTGCAGCATTTTTTTTTGTGTCCTCAACTACCGTAAAATGCTGAGCGTCCGCCCATTTTCTACTAAGTGCCCACCTCAAAATTTTGCAACATCTGAAAAAATATGCACAGTAGATATATAGGTAAAATTAATGACCTAACAAGCACTCATTCAACAGTTTTCGCGATTATCTTCATATTTTGAGTGGGCGCTTGCTCGGCATTTTACGGTATACCGTGGAAATGTTGAGGTATGCCTCATAGCGATATAGTATCCAAGACCAGCAGCTAGTACGGGTGCCGTCAGGTGGCATATGATTTTTTGTCCTAGTCTTATTGACGCAAGTGAAAGAAGTCTGATAAGGCTTCACTTCCCCCTTGTGCCTTCGCAAATAGATTTGGAAATTTTTCTGGTGACAGCTCGCTTCCATGCATCCCTCACTGAGCGAGGTGTGGAAAAATTGCCTCCACCTTTGTCTTTTTGTAGATTGCTTGCCAATGTTTTGCAAAGTTTCAGATGTGAATATCCCTTATTAAGAAAATAACATTCTTTTACTTAGAGTGAGTTTTAGGGCTGGCATCGAAGTCTCTAGCATCATAAAAGTTTGTAGCAAGAAACAGGATAACACAGCCAGTCATCTCTGCAGAAATCGCTTTGCCGCTTGGCAGGGATCAAACCAACAAATTCTTGCTAATTTGTCCAATGCTCAACCCCTGCGCTACGAGTGTAACCTCGGAGTCTCTTATTTTAACCGGTACACATTTATGTTCTCATGTGGCCACGAAACATGGCGTCTAGGAAGGAGACTGGTTGCATACGTCTCGAGGCTTACCGCGGCCAAAGGAAGGAGAGGAAAAAGACTGGGAACGACCACACAAAGTGTGAAGCAATTCATAGTTGCAGTTGTTGCATTGTTAAAATATGTGCTTTAGGAGATTCGCTTTAGCCGACGTGTTTTAGACTAAGCCGGCGACCGATTTTTCGGACTTCGCTTGGACCGAAAAAACGTCTGAATAATAGAGCAGTCCGAAAAATCACCAGATTGAAACATTTGTCTTTATATTACATTTAAGCGGGCTTAAAAAAGCCGTAAATAGTGACTTGCTCCAGGTTACGCTCCCGCTTGCGTTCGGCAACTTTTCCTTAGCTTGAAAATCGCTGCCTTCTTTTCGAGCATTATGGTTGAGTACCTTCTGCACTTCTTAGCTACACATTGCGGCGGCGGAAGAACAGACGGGGCAATGACGTCCAAGCCAGCGGAGTCAGAAAACACGATTCACCGAGACGAGATTGAAATGAGAAGTGCAAGTCCATGACTGCAATGGTGAATGAACAAAGCAAAATGGTAACAACAATGATGATGATCATGACACACAGCTAGAGAGAATGGATGGATGGATGGATCTGGCTAAACCCTGTGAATCGGGCGGTGGCTTGCGCCACCTAGCCAACATTATAAATCTAATTATATGTTTTGAATTCCAAGATTAAATCTCACCCCTGCCTCGATTTTAGCCACCAGTCTGATAACCTCCGCTTGGTTATTTCTACCCGTGTAAAGTCTATTTTTCCTTCACTGTCTTTAAAACCCAATGCCTTGATTAAATCCGCCCGGTCACTGTTAACTGTTGGGTGAAGCCCTTTACAGAAAAGTATTAAGTGTTCAGCCGTTTCCTCCTGCTCCCCACACACACTACATAAAGTGTCCATCTCCTGGTACTTAACCCGGTACGTCTTAGTCCGCAATACTCCTGTCCTGGCCTACAGAAAAGCCGTACAGTGTCACCTAGTTGTAGGACGTAGCAGTTCTCAAGTAGCGCTGCGAAACCAAGCCAATCCATGTGCGGCCAACATAGAATCCAAAATGGCTGCTTCTCAGTGGTGTTTCCCACTAACCGCTCGCGACGATTTTGTCCGAAAAATAGAACTTTTGGACTTCGAGCTGTCTGAAACATTGGTTGTGAATATGCACTACCGTAATATCCCGAGAGATAGCCCACATAACATCAAGAGCAAATCGGGTGAAAATATGGAGTGGGCTAACTTTCGGTGTACAATCAAGAAAAGTTAAAGAATTGCTATTTTTAGGTTGTGTCCCTTCCAAGCTTGTTATGGTGGCGAGGAGCAATGAAGCAAATGTGATTGTACTTCCCAGTGAGCAACGTTTTCTTATATCTCGCAATAGCTAACTAGCCGCATTTACGTCGAGACTATCATTGATCCCAATACTATTATTACTAGGAGTGGGCTATCTTTTGGTGTTTAAAAAAAGTATAGCAAATCAAGCCACGAATAGGGGTGGGCTATCTTTCGGAGGTGGGGCATCTCTCAGGATTTTACGGTATTTCTGTCGGGTAGGTCACGGTTTCTCCTTTATGTCCGAAGTATCGGACATGTCCGAATTATTGGTGTCCGAAAAGTCGATCGGCAACTGTATTTGTGTTAGGTCCTTTGCTTTTCGTAAAATAGTTCTAAGAGATGCACTTTAGGAGAAGTGTGAAAGGCACTTATGTGCTGCCTCTTGTGCATTCGGGGTCCTGCGCCCTTTGCTATTCTCGTGTTTGCAAGTACAAAATATGCAAACAAATAGTTTGTGCATTTCATCTCACAAATACTCCAGAACCTCCACTATAGTTAAATGTGGTTCCAAGTTTACCTCACAGATGCCACCAGCACGCGAGCGTGTTCTCTCATTGAAAGTGATCACAAGGCTGTGCAACCACTTGTCTGATTTAAATTATATTTACAGGGCGTGTTTCTCTTGATGTTGAGAACATTTCTGCCAAATTTTGTTAACCTGGGTGAAGTACAAAAAAACTTGCAAACCTTCAAAGATGAGAGGGGGCATGCCTGTGTAGGAAAACTATCATTTTGAAATTACTTATAAATTTGTCGTTTTCATGTGTTATATTGCATTAGAACAGTTAAGACAAGATAACTATGGGGTTATATTTCTATGTTATACCATCTTTCATGACAAAAAGCCACATAAACACAAATATATTTTTTTAGATTTCCATCCTTTGTCCAAAATTTTTGTTTTTGAGCATGAAAAATGACAAAAATAAAAAAAATGCAAGCTCATAGTTGTCTTCCCCTTAAAATGTCACCCCAGAAAAACTCAAAAATGAATCCAAGTTATGTAATAACAAAACTAGTTTTCCTAAAGTGAAATTTATGCCAGAAAGCGGAATGGAGAAAAATGTGTTCAAAGTGCTCCAACCTCTACCTTTTCTTTAGCATTTGTGGACCGAAAATAATTTATAAAAAATTAACTGTGCAGTACAATCTAATGAAACTTTCTGGGAATACCCTCTAGATGTTGGTGGATGTAAATATGACATTTTTCAAAATGAAAGTTTTTTTGCAGAAATTGTTTTTTCTTGGTAGTGTCCCCCCTTAATACATACTGTCACTAGGCCATGAACGAAAAGCCAACATAGTATGTTAACTTTTGAATCGACATTAAAATTCAATGCATTTTATAGCGTGCAACTTGCGTATCGATGGCCTCGGGGAAAACATCTCGTAACAACTGGCGATTCGGTACTACTACATTTCACGAAGTACAACTTAGCATTGAAGAGCAGCATTATAAGTCAGGAAAATGTCTTCATGATTTGTTAAATATTCTATTTAATATTTTAAGTCATTGAAACATAGCAACTACAGACCAGTGTTTATTTATTCGAAGAGAGGGGCCACGCACAAAACAAGATTTGAGCTTTTTATGGCACTCTCGGCGTCGGTGTTGTATGCGGAGCTTTGTGACTATGCACTTCTGACGTTCTCGCACTATGACACTTGTGAAGGTTTCTAAAAAAACAAAGTCCCGCAAAAGCGCAACCCCCCCCCCTCCCTCCTTGCCATGTCACGGCGTCGGCGTAAACAAACATGGCGGCGCCCATGGAATGGAGCAGATGCCAGTCTATACATTCAGTCCACGTCTGTCGTTCGTGGAGATTGTGTCTCGACTGTGTTTGGTTTGTCAGGGTGGACCGGTCGAGACATCTGCGTGGCAGGCGACAGCGCCGGTGGAAACCTGGTCCTGGCACTCAGCCTCAAGACAATAGACCTGAATATTCGGCGTCCGACAGGGGTGTTTGCTGCCTACACCCCCGTCATGCTCAACATGATGCCCTCTCCCTCGAGAATACTCTGCGCCGTGGACCCTCTTCTACCTCTGGGGTTCATGCTTACCTGCCTGCACGGTGAGCACTCTCCTCTGCCGGTAAAGAGGGATGCTGGTGTAGTGCCCGGAATCCGTTTTCAATTGGTGCATCTACCGCGTCCTCGATCCCTCGATTTCTGCCCGGCGATGTTGCAGAAGTGTTGTGATGTTGTCTGCCGCGATCTTGGTTGTGGCACGACCCCGGAGGTGGACGTTGCGGACGCGCATTTTGCTGCAGGTTACTTACTCTGCAGCTTGAGGGTACGCAAAGGCTTTCGTGGCTGAGAGTATTAAAGTGGGCAAAAGCGCGACGAGGGGGAAATTTGCCTGTGTATCTGTTCTTTGCATTTGTTTGCCCACCATTTCGTCACTGCCGCCGGTGCCCTCGAGGTGTCATGGTTCATTGCTTGACTCGTAGACGAACAAAGACTCAAATGGATGTCTTGTCTAGGTGCAAGCGCAAGTCGCATGCCTTTTTTTTTCTAACCTATTTATTTTGGGGGGAGGGGGGGGGGAGGGGGTTTGCGTGTGAGAACGGTGGTTTAATATGTAAAATCAGAAATAGTGAATGCAGAATTTGAAGAATTCATGCTTGTATCTGTATTTGAATCTTTAATATCATCAGTTGCAATGTAGAAATGACATTGTAATTTGATTTAAACTTGAACTGCATTGAACATCTCAAATGTAGCAACTGGAGGAAATTTGATATTTTGTTATTTGATGCTGATAACTGTCTGCCATAAAGCTCATTCGAGTCTGCGTCTTGTTTATTCTCGGGGAGGGAGGCGGGAACTAGCAATTACACCTAAAATAGGAGGCTCCAGATATTAAAATTACCCCTAAAAATCGGGGGTATTTTTTTTAGTCTTAATGAACTCTAAAAACATGTTCTTGCAGCCTTTTCTGTATCGAGAACAGTGATAAAAAAATATAAATTCTGTTTTCTGTATGCTTGCAAGAGAAATTATACTGCTCTATGTGCAAGAAAAATGAAAAGCATTCAATGAATGAAGTCCGCATGGTTATTTTCCCACAGAGCACTCAAAAAGAAAATCATTGTGATTTATGAAGAAGCTAATAAATGGTGGCACACTGTTTACATTTGAACCCAGGAACGCAGTTTGTGCTGGGATTTTGAGCTTGTGGACGTTATGCTGAGCCGCATAGCACAGGCGACTGTTTTGAGTGTTCATGTCTGTGCTTTCTTATTTACTGGTTCCTCCGGTAAATCGCGATGATTCACTGTCCGTACCATATCTGAGAAAGTGGATTGTATGAACTTTCCTCACGAATTAAGACAGCATTGCTTTTCATAAATTTGGCTGTGTTTTATTACACAAACTAGCGGCATCTGCAGTCATGTGGTGAAGGCCACAGTTCTGAAGCATAATTTTTTTTTTAGAAACTTTTTTCGGTCAAGAGGCATCCTTGTCACACAGTGGGGATAGGCAAAATACTTGCAAAAAATGTATCAACATACAGGTACAAAATACTTGGACAAAAATGTATTTAATTACTAATTCAATAACACTTTCTAGAAAAGTATTTTAATACAAGCTACAAATACAATGAGCAAATACATTTTGTTCCCATAGTCTGATATCTTAGGCTTCTATTTAACCTCTGGTAAAGAAAGACAGTGCATTAATAAAGAGTGAAGTCTATACATACCAAGAATCAAGTGCCTAAAAAGAATGTTGCAGCTCTAGAATTAATTTTTTTTTTTGTTAGAGATAGGTGGGTACACCATAAGAAACAACACATTCAGTATGAGTTTTATTTCACCGGCTCAGTTGAAGCAGTAAAGCCTTTTAAAGCATGTTGTTAATGCAACATCTATAAAAACTGAAATGTCATAGACAAAAAGTCAATCATTGTACCCATCACCCATCCGATTAATTCCGTGTGCTTCCTTTTTTCTTCTCTGTTTACTTTTGCGTGAAGTTGCAGCAAGTTTCATGTCCTTTGCATGTGTCTTCCATCGCAGAGAGTACCAAAAACTGCATTTGATATTGAAGTACCGTGCCTAAAATTGGATTTGGGCAGTATTTGAAATGCTAAATTTTCAGTATTTAAATACAATTGTCAAATATATTTCATAAGATGTAATTAAATACAAAATGCTCAAAGTATTTAGGCACATATACCAAATATTTGTTATTGAAATAATGCCCATTCCTGACACACATGTTGAGAAATGAAAGACTACAAAGTGTTCAGGATATTCGTTCAGCTTGGTATAAGCAAACAGTCTGTTGAACAATGCCCTGGCTGTTGCCTTTTGGTGTATATCTGTAGGACCAGAGGACCCTTGCGGTACCATGATTTCACATTGGGTATGAAGCAATGCACGTCAATTGAAAGGATAGATAGTGTCGCTCAGCATTGTGGTTAATTGGGCCAGCTGGTTCAGCTTGAAGTTTCAGAAAAGTGCTACAAAAAGACAGGGACAGCACAAGGTATATACAATACAAGCCCTTGTATTTTATACACCAGCATGTGGCCTTGACATCACACCGCTGCGGTGGCGTTGTTGTCACCACGGCGCGTGCGCAGATGCTTCACTTCATGCGGATCTGGTTTCTGCGCAAGCACAGTGCCCACACCTGGTCTGGGCAAATGCTGATTTGTTTGTAAACAGTGTGTTGGTCTACAGCTTGTAGTGTCACACAGTGCCTTGTGTTCAGGTCTAGCCTGGAGAGGACAGTACCCTCTGTGCATCTTGTTGAAACTTGTGTCTTGGCACTCTTTTCTTGGTACAACTAAGAGAATATTTTTTGTTGTGTCTTCTGCACAGCTTACATTGGCCGCTTGAACGAAGATGAGAGTCCACTGGTCTCCCCCAGCTTTGGAACCAAGAGCCCTCCCCTCTCTCCGGACAGCGGGGTACTTCTTGTTTCAAGCCCTTCTGCTGAATCTCAGTGTCCAGAGGGATTTCAGGACTCACTGGAAACATCAGTACCCGACAAGAGCCTACAACCAGAAGAGAAGTCGACCACTATCCAGGCGCCCAGGCCAAAGCAACCTCTGGCCAGGACCAAGAATGTGCTTCAGTTGGAAGCTTCCGGCGAACTCCCAACTCAGTTCCTGACGCGCTTCACGTCTAGCTGCGACGACGCCATTGCAGCTTACGCCGACGAAGGTCGGCGAGAGGACTACATGGTCCTGGAAATGCCGACGGACCTCTCGTTTGCGCTGCGGCACCGCTGTTGCCAGACAACATCGCGATGGCTACAGGCTCTACTGGCTATAATCGGTGACAATCGGTTCTATCAGAAGCACATTGTGGCCAACTGGGAGCTGCTCTGCGGACAGAAGGGCAGGAAGAGGCAGGGCTTGACCGTGCCCTGGTTCAGGCGTCCCTCGAGGCTGGACAGGAAGTTCCAGACGATGAAGATCTTGTCCAGCAACCCATTCATCTCCCCCTACCTGGCCCCTGAGTGGATGTTGCAGAACATGCCACCGTGCTACTTCGTGGTATGTTTTCTTGCGTGGTCATTTCCTTTCTAGAGCTGGACATTAGGAAATTTCATATGTTATAGACAAAGATTTTAAGTCACGCAGTACAGAAAAAAACAGAAAAGGCGAAATAAACAAACTACTACCCTAAAATCATGATTGAATACCCACGCATGGTGAAGAGATAAATGGGTTAAAATATTGGGTGTGTAAACTTTGCAATGAAACAGCTAACTTTTTTTTAAAAGATGAGCGATAAACATGGGCACTTGCTGTGAACCCACATGGCATTAGAACTGATATTGTAGATTGCGGGCGCTGCATATTCGCATTCCACGGCGCAATAAACACGTGTAAACCCCCATGTAAATTCATACGTCATTGAAACCGATACTGCAGGCGTGGCAAAACCGTGTTCCTTGTGGCGACAAACACATAGAACATACATTCATGGGAATGGTATCGGTCCTCGTAACATGCAAGTTTGTAGTGGGAACCACTACAAACTCGCATTGGGCTCTTGTTTAGGGACATTCGATTCAACTCAGTTTTGTTATATTTATCTGAACACTATTGTGAAGAGCAAAACTGTTGTAACTGACAATGGGACAACCTTCTGGCAGAGCCCTTTTTTTTGGGAGGTGCTGCACTGGAAGCCGCAATCCAATAGCCCAGTGCCCAGCAGTCATGGCTATACATGTACAGATACAATAAGACAGTGCAAGTGTGGCAGCTCGGTGTCGTCGGTCGTAATTGTGGTATAAATTCGCACAACATGACACATGTTTATCACATACGCTGAACTGATCTGATAGTTCCCTCCACAAATATTATTAAAACCAATCATTAAATCAAGTGATTAGGAGAGCACCTGGTTCCTATAGTGCAACTCCTTAATGGGTGGTTCCTTATTGGCGGGCATTTACGGTAAATTGGTTTTGGCACAGACTGGTTGGTACTCTGGTTAGTGACAGCCAGAGTGAAACCATGTCTGAGGCACGTGGCAGGCTAACTGCGTGATCATCCTTCGTCTGCTGCGAGGATTCTATGCAAGACTGTTGTAAGTGATCCGTGTGCACAAACTGCACTGTTTCTCCTGACCACCAAATATATGGATAAAGACGTTACTGGGGAACTATTACACCACTTCACCATGCACAAGAATACAACCGCCCACGACAAATGATCTCGGCGCAGATTTGTGCTTATCGGCGAGCGCTTTCGCTTTCTCAGTTTTGTCAGCCATTGAATTTGTCATGTTTGGCCAGAGCAATGATAAGTGAAACTGCAGTCAAGGTCTACGGTTATGCAAGGGGTAATGAATAAGTTTTGCCTCCTAGGCTGTAACTTTTTTATTCAGTGAGGGAACTGAAAGATGTTACATTCGAATGAAAGTTTGGAATGTCCTCTTTCCCATGAGCACATAACTTTTCAATATGGTCCTTACTAATGGTAATGCACTTCCACTATCGGTGCACTATTCTCCGCATGCCATTGTAGATGATTGAGGGCGGCTGTTGACGACACCAACGGCGGAACGCATCGGTAAACTCGCCGTTGGACTTAAACTGTGTACCCTTCAGATGTTCTTTTCCCTTAGAAAACAGCCAAAAGTCTAATGCTGAGATGTCTGGGCTGTAAAGTGAATGAAGCAAAACTTCTTGGAACTGCAGCTCCTCCAGCGTGGCATTGGTCTCGTCAACAGCTGCCTTCAGTTATCTACGTTGGCTTGCGGAGAGTAGTGCACCGGTAGCAGAAGTGCATCGCCGTCGGTAGCACTTTATATTGTTGGACGAAAATAATCCCTGGAGAAGGGGAACAAGAGGGATAAGGCACAAACACAAATCTCGAAACACAGCTAAGTGACTTGTGCGCGACCCGAAAAATCTGCCTGGTCCGGGTATCGAATCCGAGACCTCTCCATTTACAGTGGAGAGGTCTCGGACGCCAGTATAGCAAGCAGGTATTATCAGCTGACACCAGTCTAACACCAACAAGGGTAAAAGGCTTGCATTTTAAGGTTATGATTGTAATGCAATTAAATGCAAAAATACAAACAAGTTGGGAAAAAAAAATTGTATTGTCATTGTTCTTTTTATGCATTTGTTTTTTTTGGCACTTTAAGTATGTAAAATACCAACTAGCCCAACTCACCATTTTGTTATTGATCACCCCTTGTATAAATATAATTGTGGCAGGTTGGATGGAGTAGAGAGTGCTAAAATAGGGTAAAAAGGAGTAGAGATAGGGAGACTGGGTAGATTGGGGCTGATGTGAATGGGCATCTGATTCAACTGAGCTTTGTTGTATTCATCTAAACTCTGTAATGGCTAGCAAAGCGTAGACCTGGACCAGACGAGTACAATCGCACCTTGCTCTGCATAGTCAGTAATAGTGTTTCTTTGGGAGTAGCTTTCCCATGATGGGCACCCATATTCATTATTTATAGTTACAGCAAATGTTGCTTTTACATAAACAGAAGAGTAGATACCCTCTGATTGCAGTGAAAGCTATGTTCATAGTCAAAACTAATTGCACTCATCTTGTGTGTTTGTCTTTCCCAGGGGCTGCACCTGGATCCAACGCTTGATGACCTGGTGATGTTCTCCAAGAGATTGAAGACTGCCGAGCGTTTTGTGCACCTCGAGATTCTGGACTACCTCCCACATGCCTTCCTCAACTTCCTGCCATTCAGCAAGGAAGCCCACGAAGGCTCCAAAGTCTGCATCAGACTGATCAAGCAGTCCTTCGGCATTAGCCCTTAATCACACGTTTGTGCATGCCCTGGCCTTTTCATGTGCCTAGCCAGTTTGTTGCACCTTTGTACATTTTGGGGGACCATAACTTATTGCAATCTCAATAGAGACCATACAGAGCTTTTTTAGGATGTTAGAGAATTGTAGTTAAAACTTGTTTTTTGGTTGACATGATCATTATTTGACATTTCAACTTTTACTGTACATCTTACTGAGGCTTCTACAGGACTTACCATTCTTGGGAAGTAGAAGAAATGTGAATTTTTCTGAAGCTGATTTTATACTATTTATGTCCAAACGCTGTGTTTTTCTCTTTACATTCATTTATTTCTCAGGAACAATTGTAACACTTTTATTTCATTTCAATTGCCTAAGTGCTATTCTATCAGCTTACAATGTATCAAAGAAAGTCTTAAATATCCTGACAAAGAAGATTTGTTTCTTCCAGGCCATTTTCATAATCTAGCTTGAAAACACCTGAATCTTGCCCTCAGACATAAAGGGAGCGAAGGCATCTTGTGTTAAGTCCACTTCTTTTGGTGCGTAAATTGTATTTGTCCTGATGACCGGTGGTGTTATGCATGTTTTGATATATGTAAAGGTAGTTAGAGTTATATTGCTCTTTATCACAAGCTGTTTACCTGTTTATGTTTCAAAAGATATCAAAGGGACCTTAAAATGATTTTGGGAGATTTAAAAGGTTAAAAGCACACAAGACAAGGACGAAGAAGAAAAGACAGACAGGTGCCAGCATTTCTTTAGCACCTGTCTTTTTTTTTTTTTTTAATTCTGGGCAGTGTTTTAGAAAATAAATAAATCATTCAAATTTTTATTAGTAGGTTTGTTTTCTTTGTGCATCCTCGGCTCATTTAATCCTGCCTTACTCCCTACCTCTAACCCACTCCCCGACATGAGTAAATTAATCCTCATTTCTTCTTACATTACAGTGCACACTGCTGAAGGTCTGCATGTCCAGACCTTCAAGGAATCATGTTTTATATTTATTGTGCTACTTGCTTTGAACCTTAGAGGGACCTTCCTTTCTAGGTGTGAGTAGGGACAGAAAGTTTGGCGTAATTTTCTTCAATTTTTCGTTGAAACAGGTTTGAAACAAAACTAATGCTTGATTCATGTTAAAGTGCATGTCAAAAGCTTTCTTCAAGTCCAAACATCATTTCATGGTTCCTTTAACCCAGAATAGAAGATCAACCAGTCTTGATTACCTGCGGAATTAAATGCCCGTTATGTGGACCTTTTTTTACATGCCATGGTGTCTGATGAAAGGGATATGATCTCTACTCTCTGCTTTTTTTCGTTTTGAGCATATGCATACGGTTATATTTCAATACATTTACATGTATGTGGAACTACAAATGAGCTTGGACGGTTCGAACAAACCAATATGTTGTCATAAAAAAATAGTTTATACATTTCTCTGTTGTTTCTTTTTCGGTTGCTTGTGCAGAGGGCATAAACATTCCGGAAAGAACTTTCTACAGGTGGGTAATTTTGGGCCTTATATCGTTGCCCTGTCGCGATCGAATCTGTCGGATTTGTCGCTCGATCAGCGTTGGTCCCTTCTTTTTTTCTAGTCCCACGCGACGATTGCAGGTGTTGAAGACGGACTGTCTGTGATCTGATTCGCATTGGAACCGCGGACGTTCGAGCGAGTATCGGGTTCGCCAAGATCTCGTTCTTCATACCGCCGCTCACAATCCGTATTTCTGTAACTAAGTCTCGTTCTAAAGCAACCATATACAGGGTGTCACAAAAGAAAATTTACACGGTCTTTTTTACCGCAAAAATAAACTATGCATCGCCGAACGCCCATTCTCCGCCCAAAGGTAGAGCTAGAGGTCACAACCAGATGCCAAAGTTTCAGCCCGATCCGATAACTTAATCAAAAGTTATAAGTGGTTTTCTGAAAATTTCAATGGGAAAATGGCGGCCGACGGAGTTTTCAAACACATGGGGCTCTATGGCACCAGAAACCGAAAACAGGCAAAAATGGGCTCCATTTTCCCATTGAACTTTTCAGAAAATCACTTATAACTTTTGATTAAGTTATCGGATCGGGCTGAAACTTTGCCATCTGGCTGTGACCGCTAGCTCTACCTTTGGGCGGAGAATGAGCGTTCGGCGATGCATAGTTTATTTTTGCGGTAAAAAAGACCGTGTAAATTTTCTTTTGTGACACCCTGTAGTTCTCGCTGCCTTTCTCATTAAATAACTTGCTACGCTCCTTGTTCTTTCTTTTGATTTCGTTGTTTCAAATCTGGGGCGTCAAGGCAAGAATTTGCGGAAAAGACAAAGCTGTTTGAGGGAATTTTTGAATGCGAATGGGCGAGTGTTTGCTATGTGTGCGTCCTAAAATTTATTTTAACGTGTCTGTCCGTTCGGTAAAAATTCCCTCTACCCCAGAAAAAAAGTCGCGATATTTAAATCTGACGAGCGCACCACGAACAGTTTCGGTTTCTGTTTTAAAATGCTTTTATAATTTCACTTTATCCCGAATCGATCCGTAGTAAAAATAGCTGCGAGAAGTTAGCGAGAGCTAACCGCCGGAGGCGCCCACCAACGCCCACTAACTTTCAACCCTTTCAATTTTATTTGTGTTGTACGAGCAGCGAGCCGCCGCTAGAGCGCTGACGACGCTTTTTCTTCTTATTTCTTGTTTGATTCGCCTCTCGACCCGCTAGTGCCGCTAGCTCCTTTCCCTTCTCCTCACTGCAAGAAAACGTGATTTGCGTGCTGGCTCGGTGTGTCGGTCATGTCGAGCAAATGTTGTGCTGCAATCACGGTCCGGAGACCTTCACGGATTCAGTCTGTGAGCGCGTTTCCCCGGGGTGCAGCCTAGTAAACATGTCACGGATCGGGAGGCCAGGCTCGTACCTGTACGAGGTCCTGTCTTCGATGATCCAGAGCAACGTCGACTACTTCAAGTACGTGAACACGGAAGCGGGCAACAAAATCCTGGCACAGTTAATGTCTATGCAACAACTGCTCCAGTGGATCGAGACCTCGGCGACCAGTATCACGAGCTCGGCACATCTGTACGACTTTGACAGCGAGACGCCGGCCAACGGTTTTCGGAGCTTCATCACCGTCGTGGACAGGTTCATTCTTCTCGCGACCAAGCTGTGCAGGACGATATGCATGAAGCGCGACTCGATTTTCTTCCGAAGCGAGAGCTGCCTGAAAGAATTGGAGGACCACGTCGGCATCTTGCACGGCCTCAAAATCGGCATGGCGCTGCTCGAACGAATGATGGAGAACACCGACCACGGCAGTCTCTTCGTCAGCATGGAATTCAACGAGCTATTCAACGAATGCGACAGATTCGACCCCACGAGCTTCTACGGGCGGAGTATGGGATTTTACGTAAGCTCTGCTTTTCTTTTTGTTTATAGACATTGCTCTATCATTGACATGCAGGATATTTGTTGGTCGTCTCATTCTGGTACTGTTGGTTTTCTCCAGATTACACACCCCGAGTGCAGACCACACGAACTGTGTTTCTGCATGTTTCGTGTTTTCGTGTCAGTTATCTAGCACCGTACGTAGTAACACCAGATTGCTAATAACTTCTCAGGCGACCTGCCCCCGAGCGTCTTCATAATTCCTGGCTACTCCACTGCACTGTGGCTCTAGATGGAACCAGCTGTTTCTGCGCGCTGCCATCTCTGTCTGCTGGGCTGTGGAACGCCTTTTGAGCACGCGCTGTTGCTGTGCTGTGTCCACAGCTCAGTGACTCAGCATGTTTAGCCCGGGTGATAATCAGCTAGCCCCCACCTAAGAAGAGGGGAAGGAGAAACTCCCCTCTCACCGGGACTCTTTTTTGTGTCCCAGATGTCGCTATTCTCCCTCTAGAAGATTATAGAGGGTTAACCCTTCACTCAAAATTCGCACAAAAGCAGCTTCCCACTCTCTCTCTTTCATGGTGGTGCGAAATGGATGATGTGACTTCAGTGCAAAGCTATCTACTACCAAGATTCTGAAGTCATATATGTTACAGAACCGTGCAGTTAAATCACTAGCTGCCTATTTTGCAACACTTACTTAAAAATGAGGACAACTTGAAAAAGGAATGTGTGTGTAGGGAATTACACTTGCCACACCAACTACACCTGGAATCTTGAATGCATGCCGGATAGAGGAAAGCAAGAAATTCCTGATACAACCTCAATTCCACTTCTTTTTTTTTTTGTGTGTGTGTATGGATTTATTGCTCATTTGTATGCAGTGAAAGAACACTGTGGAGCTTTTCATACACACACCCAATACTCTCAAACTTTTGTTCACTCAACTGTTTGACTGGTTTTGATGTGCGAGCCATCCTCACAAACATATTATCAATTCATTCATGTTCCCACTGTTGTGCCATCCATATAGTTTCATAAATTTAAGTGGTGCAAAATATTCTTGTCTTGTACAAGGGCACATGAAGGTTAGTGCATGGTACATTGCTAGTCCTACTTGCTACTTTGTGCCAGGGATCAAATACTAGCAAATGCAATTACACTTTTGATAAGCATAATTTAATAAAACTACAAATATAACGAGGGATATTTCATCACCTTCAAATACTGTTCTAAATACATCTGGTTCCCATGGTGAACATTGTATACTTAAATTTAACCCAACCAAAAAAGTTTGCCCAAATGAAGACTGGAGTTCACATGTTACAAAAATAAAGTGCTTAAAAAAAAAATAACTTCAGAAGTTAAATCTGTTTTGCATAGAATAGAGAAAATGCCCCGATCTTTTGCTTAGTTCTTCTGAGGGTTGACATAGAACAGTGGTGGCCAGGCTGACCCGGCCTAAGAGCCGCAAACAAGACCACGAAACCTCCAAGAGCCGCGGTGGCGGGGGGCAAACTTTTGGCCTAGAGCAGTAAACGAAACTCGAACTGCTTTCAATCTATCCGAGTCAAAAGCAGTCCAACTGTACGTAAGGTAGCTGTAGCACAAGACTACCAAACCGCAACCTGTCTTTTGATTTTAAATGCATTCCATTTCTCTTTTTGGGGAAGTGCTCGTATGACTGGGAGTGAGGAGGGGCAGTGGGGGAGGGGGAGCCGCGCTTCAACACGTGAAGAGCTCGCGAGCCGCAGCTTGGCCACCCCTGACATAGAACATTAGGTGCTGGGATGGGGGGGGGGGGGGGGGGTTATCATTTATTTTTGATTAGGCAGAAAAAAAGATGCACGCACGGTGAAGACTGCTGGATGGGGAAGAGGCATTGTGGCTGCCCTCCTTTCGTGAGTTTGGGTTTGATGGGGGAAAACGGGGAAGTGTTGTTGTAATGCTAGCACAGATTTAGATTGCCGCAAGGATCCACATAATGCATTTCTTTCTTGCAAAGATCATATTGCCAAGTCATACAAAATTTTATTTTACATCACCCAAACTACCTAGAGTACGGAAAGTGAAAATACCCCAGAAATATGGTTTTAATCAGCCCATGCCCCGACAAATTCACATGACAACGTTACAGTATATCTGTTATACAAAAAAAAAAAAGAAATAAAATAAAAGAAATGTCTTAGTCGCATCATCCAAATCATGTTATAGAGCATGGAAATTTAATTTTATTTCCACGTTTGGCCACAGAGCAGATGCCGCCGCAACGAAGTTATCAACTAATCGCTACTGCCCCAATAAAAGTGACTTCGGGCGCTGATTGAGGTCATCAAATTATCTTTTGTCCTATGGCAAGAGGGTGCGTAAACAAGTAGTAAACTCAGTCTTGCACAACCATAACTAAAGCCCAATACCAATGAGAAAAAAAGAATAGAGGAGATACGAAAAAAAAAAAACGTTGACATATGTGCAAGTACCTCTTTCTATGAGTGTACTACATTTTCTTGGTATCAAAGTTTAGTTGCATTCGAGATTTGCCACCTCGCTTGCGCTCTCGTTCTCCATTCAGTTCAGCACTATTAAGACAGAGTGTCTTGAATGTAGAATTTTCACAATTTTTCTTCCAACTCCTACAACACTGACGCGCTTCGTGCAAGCTTTCTTTTATTGTTTGACGGTTTCCACGGAAAGCGGTGTCTGCATATGATGATTGTTGCTCCTGTTCGTCGTGCAAGTTAGATTTCTCCAGCGTGCAAATCAGTCCTATTTGCTACATGGAGGACACTTTAAAGGTTGCTGCATGCTTTTGTACACACATTGATGGCAATTAAGAACTCCATGAACCATGGCGAATTGGGACCAGATGGGTTTACAGTTAAAGGGACACTGACACCCCCAAAAATTTATATTCTTATTTTTTGCCAGGTGATTCATTATGGTGTCAGAAGACTACCCAATCAATATTTTGCTACAGCGTCTCATATGTTTTCAATAAAGTAAAAAAATGCAACTGTTTGAAACCGAAACGGGAACTGGACCGGGGAGGAAGAAGAAATATAGAGGAGAGAGGTAGCAAAAGTCACGTGGCTGTGATATTTTTTTTTGCCCCCAAATGCATTTGCAACTTTTTAGAAACCACAAAAAATAGGTATCATATTTCTTTTCTATTTTTAATATTGTGTGTGTGCCTTAGATGACCTACGGCTTTGATTATACTTGGTGGTTGTGTCTAAACCATAGAAAACGGCACATGGCCACGGAGAAGTGAGTGAGCGTGACTCAAACCGGCCAGTTCTTGATCGGCTGTTTTCGGTCGGAAAGAAAACGAAATTCGAGCCGCGAATAGTTTTCTGGGTGGTTGGGCTCTCATATGCAATGTACATGTAAAAACCTTGGTGAGCATAAATACCATGTCAGTGTCCCTTTAAGTCCCAGAAGGAACTGCCTTGTTTATACACACAAATTCAACCCTGTTAGTCACGCCATGGTGGTGGGGCTTCAGGTGCACTTCCAATCTAGGGGTGTGTGCCAATGTTGCAGGGTTGCCACTCCGGAGTTGGAATGATTCCGGAATCATTCCACCCTTCTGTGAACTTGGAATGGAATTGGAATGGAATGGGTGACAGCACTGGGAGTAAAAGAGTAGGAATGAAATTAGGTACATTTTGTTCGGAATGGAGTGGGAATGGTAGGGGGCTCTTTTCCAATGTAAGCTGTGTCGATATGGTCAAAGGTGCTTTTGAAATGGCATCATAGCACTTCAGGTAACTGTTGGTTGATTAATCTGACTGGCTCATGTTTTTCTTCGAGGATGAAAGTGGCACCCTTGGTGAAGCAACCATAACTGTAAAGTTGTAGGCAAACAAGGTATCGTTCCTGGCACTGTGAGATGCGACAATGTGGCTGTTGTGACCATGTGCGATTACATCACCAGTCATATGTCACCAGGCAAACACACTATACCACACCGCCCGCATTATTTTTTATGCGCGACTCGTCACCTGCCATGTATCTACTAGAGGTGGAGGATATGTACGGTTCTTTTGTGAAGAAAATGAGTGGTTTGAAGCTTTGCCACCTGTTTTGAGGCTTCTACACTTGGGCGCATAATCAATATCTGCAGTGCCACCATACCAATTGCCACCAGCGCTATGTGCAACTATTGTTCGGCTCAGTAGAATCAATGCTTACGGGACATGTTCTGCATATTTTTGCAGTTGCCTACGCATTTGATAATGACAGCTGTATGCTGATACGTATTATCTGCTGGCAACTTAATGTAGCTGTCAAGAGCCATTTTTCACGGTTGGGAATTAGGGGAATGGAATGGAATAGTCCAGCCATTGCAGGAGTGGGAATGGGCCCAGTGTCTCCATTCCTAGGAGTTCAAAGGAATGGAATGATCAGAAAATCCAATTCTCTTGAATGGAGTTGGAATGGGAGGTGGTGCTCATTCCACAACATTGGTGTGAGCAGAAGTCACCATGCGGAATAGGCATTCCTCTGTTGTCTTGGAAGACACCAGACTAAAACCTGCCTCCTCGTCAAAACACCACAACTGGGTTTGTACCAAAAGATCCGGGAAAGGTGTGAAGACAAGTTTTCAAGTGTTTTCTGCTTGCTCAGTTCATCCGAGAATGTGGAAAGGCGCCATAAAAATGGAAAACCAGACACTGTCAGACCACGATTGCTTGTGCGAGAAGCAGCTTGGGTTTAATTCACGGACACTTGTGGCCGTCAGATCTGTTTGTTTTGTTCCAACATGAACGCTGGAAAACCATAAAGTTTCCCAGACCACCCACGGGCCATATTCAGCAGGTTTTCATGTTCAACGGCTGTCTGATCATTCAAACGACAGCGGTCAGACCAACCGTTGTGACAAGAAGTGCAGGCCTCAGAAGTCTTAAGTTTGAAGGTTGCTTGGCATAAGTAGACTTGATGTAAACTGTAGGTCAAGGGGATTTTGATCACTGTTACCAATGGCTGTCACCGACTTGTTATGCCCAATAGATCTTTTCC